ATAGTACACAAAAATTTAAGTAATACAGGCATTTAAATTTTTATTTCGTAACAATAAAGAGATCCGTTCGTAACAAATATTTCAACAACTGACAACTACCCCATTTATAAATGGAGTGGATAGAACGAACTAACGTAATTATTCATACATAATATCTTTTAGTAATTTCAAAAACGCTTAGCAAGTATAATTAAGGCAAGTTTCGCTTTTAGGGTCATTAAACGTATCAAGCAATCCTTTAATAATAATTGAACTGCCGCCGAAATATTTTAAAAATGGTAAAACATTAAAATAGATTAATTAAAATAATTGCAGTTTTATTAAAACACTTTTTTACCTCTGAATATGCAAATATATATATTTTTTTAATTTAAAGATATATTATACCAAATCTACTTTCATTCAAATACAAAGGACAAGTATATTTTATTACAAACATTGGCAATATAATACATATCGATTGATGAACACATGTTTTACCGATACGATATAGGTATTATTTTCATTTTAATTAACTTAATACTAAGTTTATAGAATCGACCTTAACGTAACTCGATTTCAATAAAAATTAGTATATTTAATCGCAAGCAAAAATTAAGTAGTGACATTATAAGATACAATACATCATTTAAAACCTAATGTATTGTTTATTTTGTATTTAGTTTTACCATTTGATAAAACAGTAATTCAGACCCTAAAGTTAACTCTCTACGTGTCACAAAGTTTATATATTCGATACTTATACAATCAAGGTAGTAGCGCAACGCCTTTGATGTTGGCTGATACCGGCTTGTTCTATGTAGCTAATAGGCATATCCTTTTTATCGTATCTCCTCAGTCTCAAGGTCCCCTTGCTGCATTAGCTAGCATCAGAATCCTCGGCGTCGATATATCGAATAGTGTGCGGTTTCGTGGTCACTTAGAGAGTAAGGCCAAATTGGCCTCTAAAAAGCTTGGCGTGCTCAGCAAAGCGAGACAGTATTTCATGCCGACACATCGCTTGCAACTTTACAAAACGCAAGGTCGGCCTTAAAGGGATACTGATCTCACCTCTGGGCTAGGACACCCCAGTGCAAGCTCCTTCTACTTGACCGCATCCAGCGCAGAGCAGTTCGAATCGTCAACGACCGAGTTCTTTCTGATCGGCTCAATTCACTGGCGCTACGTAGGGATGTTGTATCCCTTTGCGTTTTCTATCGCATCTACCATGGGGAGTGTTCTCGGGAATTGTTCGGATTGGTTCCAGCCGCCAAATTTCACGAACGCACATCGCGTCAAAATTCACGATACCATCCTCACCATCTGGATGCTTGGCGGTCCAACACTGTGCGTTTTACTAGGAGTTTTCTTCCTCAACCCTACCTCTTTCTCCCTCCTCTTCAAAAAAAAATACGAACTTTTAAAAACTAAAATTCAACTAAACTAAATATCTCAGATAATTTATTTACAATACCCGTTACTTTATTATGACTTATCAAAAGTTCAGAGCTGAACATACGTTTTTTAACGACAATTTTTGTTACCGACACGGCACACTATCTCAGGAAACCGTAATTGCTGTGCTCGGTAGCAGCAATCGGACTCAAGGCGGCTTGCCTGCCGCAGGGGCAATCTAGGGTGTACAGAGATCGGGGTAATATCAGAACTGTCTACACACACACACATGCCTGCCGTTCGGTATGAGTGTATGTCTCGCTGGGCAAACGCGTTGAGAATGGCGCTAGTTTTATCGAAATATCAATGAATCGGTATATATAGCTTTGGATCTTTTTTATATAGAATAAGGTTGACAAATCAGCACATAGTTCAGCTGATGGTAAGTCGATACTGTGGCCCATAGATACCCACATTTATCGATAAAACAATTAATTACTAATTACAACCATAATATGGTACTTATAAGCTGCAAAATGGCTCTAACACGATATAATAACTTTCTTTCTACGGTGCTAACGGAAAAAAGAGAAAAAGATGATAATGGGTAAAGAAGGCTCTTTATACACTTTTAGCACCTGGTTCCAGTTTTCACATTCTTTATTGGTAACCATTGTGACTTGTACTTACAGTGTGCTCCTAGCGAAAGTCGTCAACGAACTGATTGAAATTGTCCCAATCGCGCTACCCACGCGGCAGCGGCAATTTCAATCTGTCAGATATAGGACTAGCAGCTTTAGATGAATCCGCGTCGTCTATGATAAAGGAGCAGATCCCTCCTTGCAATAATGATTCATGCAATGGTAATACTCTACTAAGATGCAAAATTTCCGACCATACACTGTTTTTTTTTTTGAACTGGATGAAACCATTTACACAAAAGATGTACCAAATCGAATAACACTACAGAACAAGTCATATAAACTGATATCTGTAATTGAGTACATACCTGGTGGAGATGGACATAACCGGGGGCACTGCAAAACTGAACGACATGTGGAAACTATTTCACGATATGGCCAAAAAAGTATCAAAATCAAGATTTAAGGCAATTACGTGTCATTTATTGATGCACCTACATAAGAAGTTAATTGAAAAATAAATGATTATTTATAATCGAATATCTTAATAACAAATTAATATTAGTATTTATCTTCGAGTATAGATATCCCCAAAATGTCATAGAAATTGAACGTACACTTTCTGTAAAATTTTCTTGGCCTGTTACAAAGTTTAAAAGTATAATACTACTTAATGAAATATATAGCGCCCGCTAGAAAGAATACTTCCTGGCGGTGACACGTTGATCATTGTTTTCTGCGAAGTCTTTATAGTAATTTTTTAATTTAGCGTACAATTTCGTACATATTTTAGAGATTAGGCTAAAGTTTGTGTAAAGTCATGTCACTGCTAGAAAGTATGACACGATAGGTTGTCCAGTCATCCACGTCTCTATAAATATTGCCTCAGTTTAAGAACCTTGTGGAATATTTCGAAACGATAGTAGGAGACCCGACGGAATGGCTTTGGTCCCTTGGGAGAGAGGCAAAGCCTTAGTGTAGGTATACACTTTGACAACATTACCTTTCATTTCAGGATTAAATCGTCGGCCTACAACAGAGGAACAGAGTAAATGAACACGTTCTTGGCACTATACCGCGAGGAGAAGGACTATGAAAATTTAAGTTTTAAGTTCGTTTTTATAACACAATAAAAATATTTCACTATCATGCAAATAAAACTGATGAAAAAACTTTTGTCCAGCAGTAGGTTATACATAATATATTAGTTGATGAAAAATAATAAAGTAATATTTATAAAATTATATGTACTTAGTGCAATATCACATCATGTAAGTGTTTACTTGGAGTATTTAGAGCTAATAGATTTACGTAAAAAATACAAAAGGAACTTGTTTAAATACAAAGCCTCAAAATTTTAATCCATCTATTTAACCGAAAACTATTCGACCTCATTTTTTATGCGATTCTCTTCAAATTGTCCTACTGATGATATAATGCATGTTGCCATGGGCATTGCATATTGTTTAAACCGATTTTATTTCAATTGCAAGGAACTGTTATTTTCAAACGGGAATATCTTTTATTTATATATTTGAATGAGTCAAAAGTATCCGAATTCAGGATTTTCCATACATTTAAAATTCATAACTCCGAAAATATTAACTTTATCGTAAAAAAGTCATAGCACCTTTTTACTCGTATTTCATCACAAAACATAAAAATATATTTTTTATATTTTATTATTTTTCTTGACGTATTTTTAATGAGTCAAAAGTATTTGAATTTGGGATTTTTTTAACTTTATCGTAAAACGTCAGAGGATCATTTTAATTCGTATTTTATCAAAAAATATAAAAAAGTGTCCCGTTTGAAAATAACAATTCCTTGTAATAGAAAAAAAGTCGATTTAAACAATATGGCACCGAGTTGCCCCATGCCAACATGCATTTATATCACCAGCACGACTATTTGAAGAGAATCGCATAAAAAAATTGAAGTGGGATAATTTTCGGTACTCATGCGCTGATTCCTCCTGCACTAATTTAAACGTTTAAAAGATTACAGTAAATCAATTTTACCTCTAACAATTTACTTATAATTATTCATTTATATGGCAAAAAAATGGTTAAGATTTTTAAATAGCTATTTAGAGAGGGAAAGGAAACTTAAGTTATCCTGATGCGTCATTTTGCTCATTACTTTGGTCCTTCGTGATCGTACGAGTTTGGCTGGAAAAGTCCCAGTTTTAATTTAGTTTACATTTAACTCAATGAAAATTATCAGACACACATTCAAGTATTTTCCCTATAGAGTTGGGTCCACATAAGAAAGCTATCTTTCGGATATTTGTTAAAGATCACGTTTATCAAGAGAGCATCGACACATTATTCAGTTCATAGATTATTATGTATATACAGTAAACCCTCGTTAATGCGAACATGGTTAACACGAATTTTGGTTTAAGGCGAACAAAAATTTGCTCTAGACAATAGTTCCATAAGCTTCAATGTAATTATGTTCGGTTAAAACGAACGAAAAAATGGCTGAAGAGATTAGAAAAGTCATTAACTCGAATTTCTAAAATTAGACAAAGGAAAGGATATCAAACATTCACGCGAGTACCTAAAAATAGAAACAATACCTCAAATTTTAAAATAATAATAAATGTTAAGTTGAAATTTTATAATAAAAAAATATTGTAAATATAAAATAATAATATCAAAGTTATTAATAAAAATGTTTCTATGATGAATCATAATATTGAGTTTAGAAACACGAATTCATCTTTTGCATTGTTCGGATTACACGAACTCCCCTGTAACACGAACTATTTGTCTGATTTTTTTCGTGTTCGTGTTAACGAGGGTTTACTGTATTTGAGAATCCAGTTACGAAATATTAGAAGTTTATATTATTTTCAACATACAACAACAACTTTACTAGAGGCTAAGAAACTGTGTCCATAGAGCCAATTTCTTTTTTAAACGATATTAGGCACAGCACATTAAAGCCTTACGGTAAATGGCAACACAGCCCACATATTCATAAGTGATTGTCGCCGTTTGACGAAGTCGTGTCGTTCACTAAATCGAGTAATTGTTTGATGCGTTCAACGCAGAGTTTCGAACCTTCGTTCGCTTCTTTGGCCATCTGGAAATTAAAACAATTATGTTATAAATAATGATTTCTTAAATTTACGCGAACACTACACATTGAATAAAACTATTATTTACGGATTTTATCGCGTTTAATTACTTTAATTTTTTTTTAATTATTATCCCGACGTTTCGGGTGCTTTACAGCACCCATGGTCACGGGGGGACTGAGATGTTTGACGTCCCAATGTCATAGTTAGTCCGGCTACCTTCAGTTTTTATTTTTTAATATTAATTTTTGCGTAAATCGGACCAAAAATTAAAAAAAAAAAACAGTCCCCTACAAAAGCACCCAAACGTTGGGATAATAATAAAAAAAAATTAAAGTAATTAAACGCGATAAAATCCGTAAATAATAGTTTTATTCAACTATGTTATAAGACTGTGTGCAATGAGAATGTTTCTTCTAGACTTTGTAATATGGCGATAAATAATATTGTTCAACAATGAACATTGCAAATCACGCACGCTAATAGTTGTTGCTAAGAAAACTTAGCTTAGGATGTAAAATTTTAGTAAAGGAAATTGTATAAATATGAACGTATTATTACAACGTCTTCGTTACTACCGCTGACACTTCTGGTAAGACCTCCCCCAAGACACCTTTAGCCGTCAGAACCCCAGATCAGTCTCAGTCAGTGAGTCTGCTTGACTGGCAATGAGACCCCATCACCTAGCCCTGACATCCTGTCCTTGCCCGTCTGTTACCTTAGGTCTCATGGTGTAGACATCCCGCACTCATTTAATTAATTTATGTATATTTATATGGCAGGGCTAGGGTATCAGGGACTGCTAGATATAGGAAACTTAGGGTATGTAGGGTTTAACACTCCTTCCTACCATAGTGATGTGCAGCCAGGTATTTGAGTTATTGAAGGTAAATTGGGTTAACACTTAAACAAACAACAAAGGTAATTAAAGACTGCATATAGTTTTATTAACGTGTTTTGTTTAATTAATCAATAGCTCGGTGCCGGAAGAACCAGCAATAAACCCAGCGGGACATTTTTTTTTTGAAAAATAACAGCTTAGTCATAAATTGGCGGTGTAATTCACTAGTGCCAACGGGGATCAAACTCGGATTGCTGGCGTACTGTGACGTGTCTTCACGTGTACGGGCGCTTAGCCCCTGAGCAACTACGGCTCAGTGAACATAAAAATCAAATTTATATTACCATATTTAATTAAAATTCATAATTGACGAGTCAACGATTTTTGTTGTGGTTGTTTGTTACAAAACTGGGGAAAATTCCGAGATAACTGGTGTTTTTTTTCTATTTTAATAAATAGCTGTGATAATGAAGTCGCATTCTGTTGTCAGGATCATTTGGATGTTAGAAAATTTGAATTACTGTTAAGCATGATTAAAATATATTACACACTAGGTACTTGTATCGATATTATATTTCACAATTTGGTATCACATCAGCGGGTAAGGGTCGATAAGAGTGCGTTAAAAAAATATATATTTATAACAAATATAGCGTACCCAGCTAAATTTTGTTTATTATAATCGATTTGCAGTAGCTAGTGGGCCGCATTGTTTGTAACATATACATAAAAATGTCAATAATAAAAAATGTTGTATAGCACAGGTAACACTATCAAGCTTGAGAGCCGCATTTAAAGAATGTGTGCGAAATACTTCTAGCTATGCTTAGAACCTGAATAACTAGGTTGAATAAACATGGCTCTAAAAATATAAAAATATCATGTATAATCAATGATTAGTAATCATAAGAACAAACCTACCCATAATCGTTTCCGCTCGGAAATCGAACCCGGAGCCTCCAATATATTGAGCTATACCACACAGTTACATCATGTAAGTCATAAAATAGATTCACTTTTGTTTTCAAGTTGAAAATAACATATTATGTTTATGTGAAGTTTAATCCTTCAAGCTCTAAGCGGTCGAATTCGACCGCGCACACCCACAGCACTTTAAACCATTAAAACGTATATTTAGAGACTACTTTTCTACGAAGCAGTTTAAAGAGCTGTGGTTTGTTGCCGGCACATGCGACCGCACCAAGAGCGGAATTTTAAGGGGACTGAGGGGTTAAACGAGTACGAGGACTGCTGAAACTTTAGAAAGGCATAGGGCCTCACAAGTTTGCTTGTCGACAGCAATTAAGGAAAAAGCTATTAGATCCGTTGTAGAATAACGATAAAAAACAGAAATTATTAAGAAAATTCTGTGTGAAAATGTAAGTTAGTGGCGATATTGCGTCTATTTTCTACTCTGTTGCAACAGCCCTGATTTAGGTACGACATAACATGTAAAATCCAAACATTCTACTATTTCATAGATAAGCTAATGTTTGCTGCCATCGGATCTATTCTTAATAAATATTGAGTTACTTTTACTTATAACCATTCACTTTAGGCCTGTGTTCCGAAATATACTGGCGAAGGCAAAAATCCCAGTATACTAGTGAATACAAATGACGTCATTAATTGACGCCATAATGTACTTGCCTGCCGCCGCCATATTGTGTCCGATATCCCGCCATTTATAAAACAATTTTTATTATTGTGTACGCTGAATGAAGCATGCTAGAATTTGTTTTTATTTATTCAAATAAAAAATGGCAGAGCTTAAACAGTTAAATCTGTACAATGAAGAGAATGTGAATCTTTGTTACTGAGGAAGGGTGGCAAAAGCATGTATGATGTCATATATTGGCCAATGTTTTGAAACGAATCACCAGTATGGCGTCTATTTATGACGTCATTTGCATTGGCCAGTATACTGGGTTCTATTTCGGAACACAGGCTAGGTGTCCATAACGACACACCACGAGCGAGCGAAATCGTGGGAATTTGAAAAACCAATCCGAACTTCTCGTTCCTGCATGTATTGGCGTGAAACAAAAACTAGTGCCATGTACGTAAAAAAACTTTTAATTTGAATTTTAAATTTTAAACTATTTGTCGGGCTCATTATAGTGTAAAAAATCATAAGAAAAATATTTATTTGATTTTAAAATAATGCGTGTAGACAGTTTTATTATATTTTTATCTTTATTCGTATTAAACTTTTAGATTTCATACATTTAATAGATTTTGTTATAATAGGTATGCTTTAATACTAATCTATATGTATTTAATTATAAATAGTGGAAGCTTCGTTGGCATGTGTTACTTTGTAAGCATTTATAAATAGGTATAAATTTAATTGTGCCGTATGCTTGCTTGTAGACTTGGGTAAAAAATATCGATATATATCGTCGATATTTTTTACACACGTCGATATATCGATATTTATTTTAGAGTATAGAATTAGTTTCAATTTCGATATATTGTAACATTTTGTTTTTCATGTTTGCTGTTGTAATTTTTTTTCGTCGTCCAACCGTCCAGTAATACAATTTTGATTTTACTACATCATCCAAAACATGTTGACATATTGATACTTATCACGCGATATATATCGATGCTGTTACAAATATCGATACGATATATATCAATATATTTTTCACTTACCTATCCCTACTTGCTTAAAATGAAATAGCTGTTGAATTTATCTATTTGCTCACCAGGGAGAAATTAAGAAATCCGTGAGGCAGTCCTTCTAATACGTCGATCCCAACTACATTGCCCAGCTTCTTTAGCTTCTTGGCGAACATGACGCAGTCGTCTAGGCACGGATCCAAATGTACAGTCTGCAGAATGCATAAATGTAATTATATGATTGTAATTTAGTTGTTAGGAATTGTATTTCTCTTATAGGATAGTTTTATTATTATTATAGCTAATTGTTCATTTTTATTTTAAAAGAATGCTAGTAACGTTATTAACCACTCAAAGTAAATTTAAAAAATAGCGATCGTGACCATAAGGCTACTATCGATTATTATTTGGCTATGGTTTTACTGAACGACCCATGAAAATATCATCATCCGTTCCTTTACGAAAATTCATTATATAAAAAATGTGAATATGAATTCGAAAATCTCGACGAAAATCTTAGTGGTGGCAGTGCATACAATTGATGGAGGGAGGGCAATGTGCCGATGCCAACTACGTTTCATAGACCTTTTTTTACGTGGATTATATTAAATTTTCACATTTTTATTTCAATTTAAATTTTTTGGCAATATTTCATTTCTATCATAGCAAGAACAAAAATAAATCTAAACAAAATTAACAATTTGTTAAAGTATGGTACAGATTAACGGATGAATAAACTTCATTTTAAAACCGATTTACAACAAATCGACAAATACAGTAGCGAGTTAACTAGCGAACCTGGCGAGTTAAGTAGAAAATCTCGTTTGAACGGCAATAAGCGAGTTAAGTAGCAAGTTAACAATTAAGTTGAACGGCATAGCCGGCCGTGCTATTTTTCGGCGAGTTAAGTGCGAAGTGCTGCCCTCCCGCGCGTGTCCAGGCACCCGCAACTAAACTCGTGTGAACGAGCGAGTTTAGTTTAGTGTGAATAAGTTGACAGGACGCAACGTTTGCGCGCCAAAACGTATAATTGTACTTTTAAAATTAAACTCGTCACAAAGTTTGTACGGTACTGTTTATTGAATTTCTATACGTTTTAATTTGAGTTTTAATAATTAAATGGACGAAAGATACCACATATAAATTCGTACAGGAGTATGTAGAACACGAATGTCTATATAATAATAGAAGTTGAAATTATAAAATTAAACCTGCTCGACATGCTGCACTCAAAAACACAACAACCAGTAATATTTTTCTGACTATATCATTTAAGATGGATCTAAGATTACGTCAAGAATTAAATTCTTGACGCAATCTTAGATCCATCTTAAACGAAAACAAGAAAAATTCTGTAGTCTTGAAACGTCATACTCGAACGAACTTTATGGACTAATGTCCTTAACTAAATTCGCCACGAAGACATTGAACGCTACTTCCCACTTAACCGTTTACTATCAACTGCCCTGTAATTAAACTCGCTACTGTATATGTCGAAGTGTAAATCGGTCTTTAGGCAATCGAAGTTGACGAATAGTTGAAATTCTCTTCGTTGCTGTGTCTCTCTTCACTGATTTTTCACTTAATATAAAAAAGTCTTTACGAAAAATTTAGATTCACTCACCAAAATCCTGACAGGCGGGAATTTTTTCAACAGCTCGTCATCGGCCCAATACGGGGACAGCAATGGATCACGTGGAACTGAGAATATGAACTCGTCCGACGGGCTTCGAGCTATCAACGCGTCGAGATTCGTGCGAACTGCCAACCTGTGATGTTCCGAGATGACGTAACAATTTATTTCAATGTTTTTCTTGATTAAACACGTAAGTTGTAAGAGTAAATATAAGAAATTATATAGTTATAGAAATTATATAATTACGTTTCGCACTTTTAACGGTACTATTTTAAGTCTGGGTTTTATTGGCATTTATCAGGGTCAAGAAAATTTTCTGGAAATTCCTACACTCGACTCTTACAAATACCGTGTGGTGAAATTGTAGGTCTGAAAGAGAATCTACAATCCCATTTCGTCCTGTAAATATCATAGGAGGCGGAAAATCTTATGGCTTCCTATAGACGGCAGTATGGCAACCCGTTTACGCTAAACGTAAACTACCTAGGACCGACGACGTGGAGCAGCGTCAAAGGTGCGAGACATCTGGTGCTGCGATATTCAATCTGCCTGTCAAAGATCGATTAAGCAAATTCTCCCTACAATGGGTGAAGTCTTGTTTTTAACTATTCTAAGCCAGCACTTAGCAAGTGCTGGGAAAAAAAAAAATAGCTACAATCCTACCTGATGGTAAGTGGTGATGTAAGATGGTAAAGCACACTGATTTAACAAAAACCTATTCACTCTTGACCCTCACCCTCATTGTAATCGGATGGAAAGACAGATGCTGGTAACTTATTCCACTCCTTTGCTGTACGCATGATAAACGACGAAGCAAACCGTTTGGTTCGAATGCGTGGTAAGACAACAACGAAAGGGTGGAGACTGGCCAAACGTCTGGTTGTCCGATGGTGGAAGGGAGGGAGGAATTAAATTATACAATTCCTGCGCACATTCTCCGAAATGCATTCTGTAGAAGACCGCAAGGCTGGCTACTTTGCGGCGATGGTCGAGGCTGGTAAGATTGGTTTCAACCAAATTCGGGTCATCAATAAGCCTCTTAGCACGCCTTTCCATTGAGTCCAAGGCCGCTATGTGGCATTTTTGCAGCAATACTCCATGCACGACCGGACTTGCGCTTTATATAAAGTAAGCATCTGTTCTGGCGTGAAGTATCGCCGCACCTTTGCAAGGACACCTAGCCTCCTTGCAGCCGCTTTGGGCTTGGACTCAATAAACCGTCCGAAGTTCAGATTTGAGGATATCTCAACCCTCAGCAACTGTTTGATATCTCGCCACAACTGTGCTGTCTTTGCGTACCCACAGATATCGGGCATAAGCAAATCATTTATATGCGGCAGGAAGAGAGTTGCCGAGAGAACGGACCCCTGAGGAACACCGGCGTTAGTCGTAACTGGATCGGATGAGCAGCCTTCGACGACGACCCAGAGAGACCGTTCACTCAGAAAGTCCTTACCCAGTCAATCAGGGGTGGGGATAAGCCGTATGCTGTAAGCTTAGCCAGAAGGCTAGCGTGCCAAACTCTGTCAAAGGCCTTTGAGATATCAAGAGACGGCAAGTGCTTCCCCACTGTTTTCGAGTGTCCGCCCCATACGTGAGTGGCATACGCTAGAAGATCCTCAACCGACCGATTTTGGCAAAACCCGTATTGCCGGTCACTAAGGAGGTCATTTTGTTCTAGGTATGCCATTTATCGGGCGTTCAATATACGCTCCATAATCTTGCGGGGTATGGAGATAATTGAGATTGGCCGATAATTGGCAGGGTCAGTGCGGCTGCCTTTTTTTGGAACAGGCTGCGCGTTGTCTATGTCTAACTATGGACCTTACGGGCTGATGATGAAGGAGAAAGCTTTTAGTAAAGTATTTGTGACGCCGCGGCGTCATAGAATCGATTACCCAATTTTTTATTAGGAACAACGAACAGTATATATAGTAGTGCAACCAATACCGTTGACCATCAAGATCTAAGAAAAGTTGAAATTGAGAATGGCATTGAATGTTTTCAACTAATACAATAACAAAAAAATACTGTAATAGGCAATGACTCATACACATGAGACATAACCGAAAATGGTAGCGTTATGATATGATTTAAGAAAAATCTATTCACTCTGGCCTTGATGACTCCCAAATTGTAATGGGATAGAAATACTGGCAAATTATTGCTGCTTCTACTAAATTATTTACTCTCGTGAGGAATATCAATAAAAGAGAGAGAGGTAAACCTGCCTATCCAGTGTGATAAGGCAACTTTTTCAACAAATATAGAATATTCTTGAAAGGTAATTATTACATCCCTCCACACGTCCACAGCTGAACATAGGCCTCCCCCAAAGAACTCCACAAAGCACGGTCCTGAGCCACCTGCATGTCTTACCAGGTCGTCACTTCATCCAGTGGGGTGTTGCCATACACTTTGCCTACTGGTAAGAGGCTGCCAATCGAGAACCTTTCTGCCCCATCGGTTGTCGGTTCTTCGAGCTATATGAGGAGAGGGCAATGGTCGGGGTTGCTCTGCGAGATGAACTTAGAAATTAGGATATCCACAATAGAAATAGAGTAACCGACATAACTCAAAGGATTAGTAAGCTGAAGTAGCAATGGGCCCGCCATACGATAATTTTTCACACACAAGGACTTTAAAATGGTTTGTGATGGATGTAGATTTTAAGTAAAGTTGTAACCGCAAATTACTGTAATATACTTAATGATATATCATTAGGCACCTGTGAGATACATAATACATACATAATACATTAAAGTACAGAATGTAACAACCAATCTTGACCAAATTTGACAAATTGTAATATAATATTAATTTAATCTTAGGTAGTCAATTTGACAAAGACATTTCACACAACGAATTTTCTAATTTATACTAGTTTTATTTATTTTTATTTCATTAATCAGAATTTTATGTGCATTCAATTAGGAACTTACTCATCCTGTGTAGGCCTAGTTATTGAATTTGATCCAGTAATGTAGGCAAGTCTTGACGACATGGCTCCCATTAATCCCGTGGCCGCTTCACTTATCCTTGAAACAAAATTCAAAATATAAAAAACTGAATAAAAATAAATTGTTGTAAGTTCAAAAAATCTTTTCTTAAACTCAATCACTTCAGTTTTATTTCTTTCTTTATTTACAAATTCGCACACTCACATAGGAGTTTCCGGCCGTGGAAGTGTTTTATATACACGTATAAAGTTCAGAAACAAAAACCGGACCGGGTCTGGGACTATTATTTCTAAGCCATACAAATGTGTATCTCGTGCAGGAAGGAATTCCCGCGGATCGCAGTGCTGCAAACAATATCGTCAACTACACTACCGAGCTGTCGGTAAATCTTTGTAATAATTGCTGTAGCCTTTACAAATCAGAACTTTGTATTTTGTATTACTAATCAATAAGAATAATAATTATAATTTAAACTGGTGACCATTTTCTTTGCCAGGTTTCCAGTACTAAGCTTCGCTTAAATTTCCAAGTCTCTAACTCATCGGTAAGTTAGTTTAAAATTTATTGCAAAATTTGTGCTATGTATTTAATTTGTAAAGTGACTTAATATTGCATTGTAATCCTGTTCTGAGCTAAATTTAAAGTCGCTACAGCTCATCTGGAAGATATGTAGTTTAAAATCGTTTATTTTTAGTCAAATCGTGTATTCACAATTGCATTTGTACCGAACAGACGAGCAGAAAAGAGAGTTAATAAAATGCGGTAAAAAGTAAAATTAAAAAAGTAAAGTTACAGCCTATATACGTCCCACAGCTAGGCAAAGGCCCCCCCTCATTTCTGAGAGGGTTTTAGGGCAAGGAAGTGTCCGTCGCGCTGCCCCAATGCGTGTTGGCGAACTTCACATGTCTTCGAAATATTTTTTTTCTTATTCCTCAGACATGCAGGTTTCCTCACGATGTTTTCCTTCACCGCCGAGCACGTGGTAAATCAGCACTTAAATTTGCAATTAAGAACTTCATTGGTGCCGCCGGAGTTCAAACCCGGGTTACTCGCGTTCTGTTATATTTACAGCGAGCGTTAACCATCTGAGCTACCACGGCTGTGGTAAAAAAGTACTTTCTTATAATATTTGAATAACAAACATCAGTAGGTACATTGTCACCCCTTAGGACTAAGATGGAATATTTCACAACCTGTAATTATACTGGCTCTCTTAACGATCAAACCAGGACACTGGAATGGGTGGTCTAATTGCCAACAGAAATAGGCAAGAGAGTACCGGACTCTTAAGAGAATTCTGAAGCTGTAAATTTTCATACAAAAAGCGATAACCCCAGTAAAATAGTATAATTTTCATAATTTTTGGAATTATTGTAGATATAATGAAAAACTAGGTCCGTATAGGTAGCGACACGAAAGTCTAGCGGTAACGTTAGTTAGTAGTTAAGTTTTAGTTAGTTAATTTGTTTTTATTAAGGGCGCATAGTACTTCAAATGGCTTAGCAAGATCCTCTGTTATGCCGAAAATACTGCAGCATTGTTTTTGAAATAAATATATGGTGAAGTTGAGGATTAATGTTAAGTACTATGTTAGACGAAAACACGATTCCATAAAATTTTCTCGATAGAAAAAAATCCAAAGTTACCTCCAAACCGAACTATAAACCGCTGGTATTCCAAAATACTTAAAATTAGATCATGAAACTTTGCATACTAACTGAACAACTATAAAGCAGGGCTTATGTTATTTACTTTTTTTATTTATCATTACTTTCACCTTAAAAAGAAATTACCTAAACTATCGTCGTTTTAAACCGCCCGACACCGTCGTTCACTCTAGCTCCTGCTTTTGAAGGGAAGGGGTTGTGTCGCTTGCGCTCAGAACACACATTACGCAACAGGTCGAAGTAAAATTAAAATATTAAAATAGACACTTAGGTTTATAGTGTTGGCGCAAAAATAAGCGCAATAAAAATAAGAAGCGTATGATAAACTTAATGAAATAAGTATCTACCGACCTATCTACTTACAGTATTAGTGATTACAATATTATGTAGAAATTTAGCATATGACAGGTTTGGTGCAGTGGCTAAGCGTTTGGTTGGCCAGCGAAAAATTGCTTGTAATCGCACCGTCTACGATTCAGGAGAAATCGAGTGTGGTGCAACTTTATGGAAAAAAAAAAAGATAAAGTTACCTAAATAGGTTTGTTTTTGTTTTGTCAATATTCAACAAAATTAGTAGTAATTGTTTTTTTATAACGTTGCCCTACTCCAGGATTTCTCCTGAATCGGAGACGGTGCGATTACAAACACAAATTTTCACAACTATCTGTAGGCCATTAAAATATTTGTTCCGTATAGGAATCGAACGACCGACCCGTAGTGCATAAGCCAAACACTTAGTAATAAAAAATATAAGTGTGTTCGGTAAGTACCTACCTATAATATCTAACTATAAAGAAATAAAACTAACTTACTTATCCGTCCTTACATTATCGGTACTCCGTAGTGCACTGGCTTAGCAATGAGTTGCTGCGCTGGAGTCCGTGGGTTCGAATCCCGCACGGAACAATTATTTGTATGACCTACAAATAATTGTTCCGGATCTGGATGTTTGTCTTTATGCAATTTATATTTGTAAACTGCCTCCATGATACAAGAGAATCTCCTAGTGTGGGGGTAACGTTTTAAAAAAAAATAACTTATCTGACTATAGTGCTACCTACTACATAAGTACATAAAAATTATGACCATTGATACGACGTACCTTGATAGTTTAGCTTTAGCTAAATTGTGAGTACGTGAGTATTTTCTACCTACCTAAACATGTAAGAGATATGTTACTAGTACACGTGGCTACATAATTACCAAACTACACCCTCCAGTATAAGCTGATCTCAAATTGTAAACGCATTACGTACAATGAGAGGTCAGCTTTTACTGGAAATTTCCTCTTATAGTGGAAGGATCTGCCCATTGTTGGTTTAATACTAAGCTTGAGTTTTATAGTTGTCGCGCCTGCGTCACATTACATACATAATGTAATGTGACAGCCGTTTACGTATGTAATTATGTTGGTAGCAGGTCTATGCAAGTACCTACATATACATACCTATATAAGAAATTTTGCAAACCGATTCTAAGCCGCTGCATAAATTCTACTGCTACAAAAAACTAGTCAAGCGCGAATCACCATTGTACCACGGTAATTTATATCATACGTATCTTTGAAACAAATGCCTACAGCCGCGCGGTAAGTAAACATGCGATAGGGCTGCCTGCCTCCAGAATTTAAATTACATTTGCCTACTTTGTGTTTCCATTTAGTTTTATGATTGTACATTTTTTATATAAACAAATAAATAGGTACTTTGTGAATTGAATAGGAAGTGTTCAATAAAAATGCGTGTCGTTTTTTGATTGGCAGATTTAATTAAAAAACCATGTTTATGTTTGAATAACAAATCGGTCTTGTAAGTTTGCGACCGAAAAATATTTGCGCCTCGACTGAGACGTACGAAATGCTTTATTATTAAATTTTTAACTATAAAAATCCGCATTCTAATATAAAGCTTAATAAAAATTGTTTTGGTAAATATGGACAAGGTGGAGTTTTCTCCACCTTGTCCATGTTTACCAAACAATATCTTTTACTTGGTTATAGATACCTGCAGTTACTTTACAATTTATATGTTTGGTTTTAAATGAAGTTCAGAATATTTCCTCCATTTTTTTATATATTCCACAAAATCATCACTGCGGCACAGTCACGACTGCCTGCATGCCGAGCGCATGCCGAGATCGAGGCCCGTAGGCATACCGCTTCGTCCGTTTGTATGAAGTTGGAATACTGTATAGATAAAATTACCGTGATTGTACTGAAGTTCTGTAGGCATTGGCTTGGTGTAGCGTTGACAGGCGTCCGGATAAAGCCGGACACAGTCACGCTTTTTGATTGCGTGTCTGTCCAAATTAGACGGTGTCCGGCCTGTCTGGCTTTTGTCATGCTTTTTATATTTGACCATTTTTTACATTTTCAAGTACTTAAATACATACTATTGCAATTATTGAAATTAATATTGAATGATTAATAATAAAGAACACTGATTCATTCAATTTTAATTTAAGATTTTATGGTAAATGATATAAGCATTGTTTTACTTTAAAAATATATTATCGTGTTATACTAAGGCTAAATAATTAAGGGTGTCCGGCCTTTTATCAAAATATCCGGCTAAGCAGGATGGTCTATCCGGCTTTTCGGTTTAAAGACCTTGCAACCCTAGCTTGGTAGTAAGTTTACGCTTTGCATTTTACAATGTTATAAACTTACAATATAGTATTCGCCTCGTATTACGTACTAATTTTTTAGCTATTATTAATATATATATATATATATATATATATATATATATATATATATATATATATATATAATTTATGTTCATATAATGACAAGTTAATATTAAATTATGACTGAAAAATTTATTACCTACTTTGTGCTCGTCCGATAATAGTTTATTTTATTCTAACAAAATCGCTTTGTCCTCGTGTTCCCGCGTGACGTCGAGCCACGCATAGTGTGCGAACGAGTGGCGCGGGAAAGTGGAGACGAGCTAAGTAGAATTTGAGCTGAGGTAGCATAGGCCGTTAAGTTTGTTTGTGACTTTAAACGGTGAATATGCCTACAAGAAATACTGTTTTAAGACGACAGACACACAAAAAACCGTGTATAACGCGCAACACAGTTTTTTGAAAAGAGAATCTAATGAATTAATTGATTCTTTAAAACAAATCATAAGTGAAGTTGGCGAAGGTAAAAGTATTTTACTCAGTCATTCCGACAGCAGCACTGTAAATTTAAGCCAGATAAAACAAGTTTGCTGTTGCAGAAGTTATTAAGGCAGGAAATATGAAATTAAATGGTATAATCATTAATCCAGTGACTTAGGGAAAATCCTAAAAAGGACAGCAGTCTATAAATACACAGAATACCAGCGTAAAATAGCAGCTTGATGCTGCTGTGTTTTGTATGGTGAATGAAGAGAATCGGAAACCCGTTTTACTGGAATCGAGGCATTCCATCTTAGTCCTCAGGTGTGAAAATGCATCTGCACTTTGATTCTTAATCGAGGTTAAATGTAGATGTCTATGAGCCACACTATCCGCTTACCATCAGGTGGACTGTGTGCTCGTTTGTCACCCTAATTCTATAAAAAAATACATCAATTGCAACGGTAAGAAACATCTCCACTCAAGTCAATAGTTGGCAAAAACGTTCCCGAACAAAACCCGTCACATATATCGATAACTTCGACCAAGGAGTAATAAAGAGGTGCATTCATATTTTTCAAAAGAGAAATAATGAAATTTTTACAGTCGGAAAGCTGAAAAAGAAGCTAGAGCAAGACATAAAATGCAAAGGCTCAGAACGAAAAGCACTGAAAACAACCGGAAAGTGCTGATTGAGATTTCAAATATACGTTTGCAATGTATCGAATATTTACGTAAAATATAGCAAGATCTAAAGCACTATCGCTAAGAGGGAAGGCCTATTGTATATATGGACGAATCTTACGTAGATTCATCGCACTCTTATCTAAAAGCCTGGACCAACCAATTTCGAAAGGGCAGCGAGTTGTCATTGTCCACGCAGGGTCTGAAACTGGGTTTATACCCAATGCGTTGCTGACTTTTAAAGCTGCTATCAAATCAGGCGAATACCACGACAATATGAATTTCGAGAACTATGAAAAATGGCTCAGAACTCAGTTAATGCCCAACCTACCACCCAATCCCGTCGTGATAGTCGACAACGCGTCCTATCATAATAAACAGTGGGATCTCGCAGCAACCGCTAATTCCAGATAGCTTACATGCAGGCTTGCCTCACTGAAATAAAATATTTCCAAAAACAAATGTAGGCAATTGCCTTCAAGACTTGCAACTCTTTCTATCGCATGATACGGCGAAACGGAGCAAGCAGTAAGAAGCAGATAGCATTTTTGAAAATACCTACTTGCGCCGCACTACACAATCCTCTTAAGCAGAAAGGTTGCTCCTCATCTTTTATGTGATAGAGTCACGCAGGAGCTGTATTAAGGTTGCAGCACGAATGAGTCGGCTTGACCGGAGTAGGAACACGCTCTCACAGAATACCAACGTTTCGTTCAACGTTTTAGCGACTTAATGAGTGTAGCGAACCGGAGACCCTTTTTATTTGAATCGAGGCATTCCACGTTAGTACTCAGGAGTGACAACGCATCTTGATTCTTAATCGAGGATAGATGTGGATGTCCACGGGCCACAGCATCCACTTACCATTAGGTAGACTGTGTGCTCGTTTGTCATACTCATTCTATAAAAAAATCTCTCTGAAATGTTTCATACTAAAATTACCTTGTTTTAATTCTTTTCTTGTTTTCTTTGGAATCCGGTTCTTCTATCAATGGTGGTTCCCCAACTAATGTATTTGACGCTTCTGATTCTAATTCTCTGTAAAATAATTTTTACCATAGTGAAAATATGAAGTGTTTTGGCGACGTTATTCATCATATTTTTGAAATAATGTACTGAGTCATAAAGAAGTATTTTTACAGCTCGTGCGTATTAAACAATTTTGTTTCACCATCTACCATCCTACATATTTCTCAATGATCACAAGTTGTCTATCTTTTTTTCGAATAAACCTTTTTTTTATAAAAATGATGGACAGTGTACAACAATTTTCAAAACATTAATATCATATAGCCGAAATTAATACTTTAATAAGTTTTTCTTTCACTTGATTCTCTTTTTTATACCCTGATGAATTAAACCCCAAATCAAAATTCTATTTTATTAATTTAGCGTTTTTATCTTATATCTGCTTCTTATTATCATCATTATTATAGCCAAACCACAAAAGACGGTCTTGAGCCACCTGCATTTGTCAACTTCCTGTATATGGTATCAGATCGTTACTCTACCAGTCACCCAACACTTAATTTTCTGATACGAGGCTGCCACTCGAGAATCTTTCTTGGCCATTGGTTGTGACTCTGAGCTGTATGTAATATTTTTATTGCTATATGTAACATTATCTAAAGAAAGGAAGTTGAAAGAGCTATTTATAATTTCACTGCTAATGTCTGCTGTTGTAGAAATGATAGACGAGTGAAAGCAGTATCAGGCACCACGTATCTTTGATGCTGATTCCGTCAAAAGTTTGGGTACTTCACACATTTAGCATAAAGAAGATGATTACATATATATATGTATTTATATTTCCTACTAACATCTACCATTACAGGGAAAACCTAAATCGATAAATGTAGCATCTCAATTCAAATGGTAAAAGATTACTACACAATAATAAATTTAAATAACAATACATAATAATTAATTTCAAAGACAATACATTACAATCAATTTTATAATACAATTTGAGAATAAAATATTGTAAATAATGTCACTTTTGCGAACTCACTCCGTGAACACGAAAATAAGTCCTACTTCTCAGCTACCAAATTTAGTATGTGTATCGTTCGCGTGAGGAGGGTATTGCGAACCAGTTTAGTCCTGCCGCGTGGCATCGCGAGCAAGCTCGGCCGCCGTCGCCGCTGTACATACCTATCAGGCACGCATAAGCCTATCCACTGCAGCACACCCGGGTTGCTGATGTAACCACGGAACACCCTTAAAATGTAGGTTACCAGCGCTAGATCTCTTCTAGTTTCCAACTTGTTGTATCCAACCATACCTAAAACAAACAGGGTTGGATACATCAAGGGGTAGGATGGATAAACCCCATAAAGCTTATGATATATAAATCGCGGGAATTTATTCTGAATGCGCTCCAGCATAAGATTGATTTATTTTCATGTGGAGCCCATATTGCCGAGTTACACTCCAACTGACTCCTTACTAGAGCATCATACAGCACTGAGATTGCTTTAATGTTGGTAAATTTTACTGCTCTGCGAATGATAAACCCTAGTCGTTTATAAGCTTTCTTACATATATTCATGATGTGCTCCCGGAATGTCAATTTGACATCCATCTGGACTCCAAGATCCCGGACTGATTCCTCCCTCTTCATTAGCTCGCCATTCACCTTATAGTTGTAATGGAGTGGTGCCCTTGCACGACTAAATGATAGAATAGAGCATTTTGAAATATTAAACTGCAGTTTATTTTTGTGGCTCCATTGAACTACTTGGTCGATATCTTGCTGAAGGTGGCGACAATCATCCTCACTCTTGATGGCTAAAAGCAACTTTAGGTCGTCTGCAAATAACAGACATTTAGCCGCTCTTACTACTTCGGGTAAATCATTAATCATTATGTTGAACTCTAACGGCCCTAAATTACTGCCTTGACTCACACCAGACCTAGTAAAATAAGGCTTCGACCGGTACCCGCCATACTCCACATACTGTTTTCTATCTCTCATGTAACTTGCGAAAAAATGAAGCAGTTTAGGTGTGCAGCCAGCTTTCGCCATCTTTGACAGTAGGATATCGTTATCACGCTTAACCAAGTCGAAAGCATTTCTAAAAATAATCAAAGTAGGCGGCAGCTGTACCGTCGCCGCTGACGCTGGCAACACCCGCACCGCCCGCCACCACCGCCTCATCTACGTTCAAACGCCCTGGCTCGCTGTTGTACACTGAGTAGAACTATTTGGGAAATTCAGTCGCACTTTCTTAATCTGACAATGTTACTCCATCTTTCAATATTTGTTTACGTTTAACGGTCCCTTTTTTGCCCTAATATGATCCCAAAAAGACTTAGGATCTTTTGTCAAGTTACTTTGCACACGATTCTGATAGTTTAGGTATGCGCTATCAATAGTTTTCTTAATTAGCGCCCTACAAGCAAAAAAAGCTTTGTAATCAGCACGAGATCCGGTCGATTTATATAACTTGTGAAGTTTAGCCTTTAATTTTATGTCCCTGATTAAATCACTAGTATACCACTCGGGGTAGTGTCTTTGATCTACTTTATTTTCCCGCTTTTTCGGTACACGTTTATTTAAAACACCGTAAAAAATATTATAAAAAAACTCCAAAGCTTCCTCTGGTTTCTGTGTCTCGTTAATCAAACTCCAATCGGCGGAAGCTAAAGAAGAATAAAATAAGTAAAAATCAGCTTTATAAAAATTCGTTAGCGGTTTAATTTGGTTTGCTGATGTCTCACGGTTTAAAGCAACGGGCTCGGCCCCCACGGGTAGCAACGTCACACCGCCAGCGCTGAGCTCCAGGGTCACCGCGAGCAGTGGATGATACGTGTCCACCGGCACTAATGGTTCGTCAGCTTCGCATACTTGTACGCCATCACTTAATCCTAACGAACACAACACTAAATCTAGTTGACTCTGATTACAATTAAGGACTTTATTCATCTGAGCAAATTCGCAAAAGGACACAAAATATTCAAAATAATTTTTAACATTTTCATTACTTGAATTTAAGTTAAAATCACCTATCAAAATAATATGTCTATATTTAACACACAATTGTTCTATTATCCTAAAAAACATCATGTAAACATCTTTCTAGTCTCAGGCGGGATGTAAACAACGCAACATAAAAATAAACATTTATCTTGAGGGTGTACTGTCGCACAAACCAGTTCAAATGAGCAGTTATCTATGTTTACGTCACCCGGTGTATTCACTCGTTGCAGCTGTAACCCGTGTGTGGCCACGAGAAACGCGCCGCCTAGCTTACGGCCGTCCGCTCGATCACACCTTATTATTTCATAACCTGGTGGCACAATCTCCGCATCCATTATAGAATCGTTGCATCCTGTTTCCGTAATAGCAATTATATCGGCATTCAATGATTCAATATTGTTAATAAACCAGTTTAATTTTGTACGAAGACCCCTGACGTTTTGATAGTAAAATTCAAAACTATTATTTTTCTTTAATTGGTTTATTAGTAGCTTTTCGAAACCAAATCCACTCGCAAAATTCCGCACTGATGGACCATACTTCCGGTTGACACAACTTATCATACATTGACTCTGATACCGTTATGATAAAAGAAGCGTAATCCCTCTCTGTCTTATGCTTAATTTTCTCGATCTTAACATTAGCATCTGGACCACACACTCCTTTGGCATGTGATCTTAATTTATCACTTGTGATTTCTTTACTCAAACGCCAAACGTGAAGCTTTTTTTCAGTAGCCTGTATATCTACTAAAACTGTATTATTTCCTTTCTTCACATTTTTTGATTGGTAACTCCCCCTTTTCTTACGAACTGTAGTCCACTCACAATCTTTATTCATTTTTTCTTCTTTCTTACTAATATTAATATTATATATTAATATTATATGTCCCTCTGCCAGCCACATACCTCTTTGTGAGAGGGTTTTGGCAAGACATGTGAAGTCCCAGAATGTTTTTCATTTTCTCAAACATGCAGGTTTCTCAACGATATCTCTTTCACTACTAGATGTGGCAAATTTGCACTTCAATTTCATAGATGCCGAAGAGTATCAAACTTTGCTCAGTACGGAACAGAATATTTTGATCGTGTACTGCGAGTTGCGTATTTTACGGCGAGTCCATATTCAAAATTGATAAAGACAATAATGGATATCTATAACCAATCCATTACTGCTTAAAAGTCTATTGCTGAACATAGGCCGCCCCTATAGATTGACATAGATAGGGGGATATTTGCCATAGTTGCCACACACAAGCGGTTTGGCGACCGCAGTTCTTTATTTTTATTCAGCTGTTATTAGGAAAATGCTGCTGCCTATTTCATGGTTCAGTTTTCCTCTGTCATCTCTTACTTTTCCCGGGGGACGATATGATGTATCGTGTGATATATATTGAATATACACTACACCATATCGTACCTATCCTAACCTAACCGTGTAATGGCAGTGTAAGAATATACTACATTACGGTTAGATGAGGATAATCATAACATTTTTAATCTGGTTATTTTTAGTTATTTTAAATATGCTTATAACTGATGTAATTATAATTACTTTTGGGAGTCCTCCCGTGTCCTGTTGTTCGGTTTAATAATTGGAAAGCGTCGTCCTTCGGAGTCAGTATCGCTGTCTAAAACGTAACGTTCTAGGAACTCCGATACGTACTGCTGCGATTTGTCTTGTGTTGGTGTTACACCTGTAATTTTTTAAAGCGTTAAGTTCTTCACGCACAACGCGGCCGACGTTTGCTAGACATTGTATAAGTTTTCTCTATCGGTAATCAAAGCGAAACATTCACACGAACTTGAATAGCCTAGTTTAGTTTAGCAAGGATTACAGATAAAATGGCAGTATTCGGTTAAAATCGATGGGTTAAATAACGCAAGCTTGATCGCCAGTGTCCGATACTAAAGAAATTGTATATAGCAATTATCAGGGACTGATCTAACACATGCCCGGCGGTAAAGATAATATCAGTGATTTTTGTCACGGTTTTTTTGTTTTACTTTGGGGAATTTTGGTGGGAACTTGACTTCTAGCGGGCTGCTGTACTTGTATTGCCTTATGGCTCAATAAGACCATGGGGCATAAAAGTGATGGGATTTTGTATTAAATGAGTATAATTAGCTGAAAAGATAAAACGAGTGCTTTCATAACAATAAAAACAGTAAAATGTGTTGTTGGCGCCTTAAGATATTATCGTCATCGACTTACTCTGCCTCAAAATCTTCGAGAAGTGACAATTTTTGATCATATTTATATAATGGATAATGTATTTCAGCATTTGATAGATTCTTTTTTCGCTGAAAGCCTTAGCCAAAACTAAAGTGAACTTACAAAAAGTAGAAGTTCACTACATTCATTAAAACAAGAATTCCGTGGGCTTTGCTCGCCTGCTTCATTATTATTTGATTGTTATACCAAAATTTTTATTACCTGTAGCTGTGTGTTCACTTTGCAAGGAAGCGGCGCTTATTGTTGTGTCTGATGACTTTCTCCGTTCGCTGCCTGATTTGTGCGCCTGTAATTCCGCCAAGTCGGATGGAGAGACCTCTTCAAATGACGAAGGGCTTTCACTTATTCCTTCTGTGGGATTAAAGGTTATCTTTAAAATATTAGTTATAACTGACGGCACAAGTCTTTAAATCTGATCATTGAACTGTGATTATAAAAGAATACGATTTTAAGACTTGTTTGGTGGTATTGTAACGTGCTGTTAGTCTTTTGTATAGAAATAATGATGACTGGTGAAGACAAGGTTGAGCGCGACATCACTGCATGAACATGCGTCGCGTAATTTTAGCACTGGGAGGTGGAGGAGCGGTAGGGCAAGAGCAAGGCAGTGGTTCACCGGTCCGACAGGGCGACTTTGCTCACGTTACTGCACGATTGCATTGTCGGGTTAACTCTGTAGCACTAATTAAACCAATTCAGTACAAACCAAGTTTAATTTATTCTCATCAGGAAAGACAGGCAGTCCCTATCATGAGGTGTACAAGGCTCTGTCCCCATCATATTGTTACGAGCTTAGGGTTCGTGACAATAAAAATTGCCGATAGAATTAGCAAAATTAACACTTTAATTCACTTTACACTAATTAAAACTTAAAAGACACTAATAATTAATCACACTGATTCACTTTATTTCGCTCCGAAGCTTCGCTTGTCTCGCAAAATTCAATACTACCCCGATCGCGTATTGCAGCGCCTTTAAATAAGTCTTTTCACCGAAACATCCAGAATATTCAAGTAAATACGCGCTCCAATCTACCAGGCGCCGAAAGTTCGAGTGTAGGGCTTCTAGAAAGCTTAGTTCTTCACATCGATACTAGATGGCGCTGTCGGTTGAAAGATTAGTCATGTTATTTTCTGGAAAGCTCTCCTCGCTCTGTTACCCAACACTAGAAGGCGCTAGTGCCAGACGTCAACTTAGGCGCGCAACACTATGGTCTTTGATCGCCGGGAGAATATGGTGAAGACAAGATTGCACCCGACATCACTGCGTGAACATGCATCGCGTAGTTTTAGCACCAGGGTGAAGGGGAGCGGGACGGCAGGAGCAAGGCAGCGGTTCGCCGGTTGGACGTAACAACTTCGCTCACGTTACTAATAGCACGGTTGCATTGTCGAGTTAACTATGTAGCAGCACCAATCAAACTAATTCAGTACAGTCCAAGTTTAATTTATTCTCATCAGGGCAGTTCAATTACAAACTAGCACAATTTCACCTGCTAATAAATGTATACTTTGGTCCATAACCTACATATTTTATCGATGAAGGATAAAATTGCAAACGCGTTGTTATCCCTGACAAGTCAAAGTGGCATCATAAACACAGCAACAGCTAAAATCAACAGTCAACAGGCGGCGGAGACAGGATTCACCCTCGACAGTAACACGTTGCTATAACTAGCAGCACTGTACCTTTTAGAGAGTAGTTCAAACACGGAAAAGTCGGTCAGATGTGAAAAACAAGTCGAATACCGAAATTCTGATGTCACTTAAAAATGTCTGTCTGTCTGTCCAGGCTATCTTTGGAATGGCTGAAACGATTGTGATGTAACTTTACGAATAGACACAAAGCAATGCCAAGAGGGCGATGCTAGGCTATATTTTATCAGAAAAACTTGAATATTTAAAAAAAATTAATGGTTCTTGATTATCATATACCTAATCCAGACGAAGCCGGGAAAATTAAGATTACAAAGAGCGTACACAACGCCTTTTGACATTCACTACTTGTAAACCCTGGATGTTATAAGAATTAGTGGTAAGCGCAATTTAAATAAATTATTTAAATTGTATAAAATAAATTATTTCAATATGAAATAAGAATTGAAGGGAAGTTGGTCGAGCAACTAGATGAGTTTGTATATTTGGGATGTGTATTCAGCAGGGATGGGAGATATGATAAGGATGTAGAACGAGAATTGAATGCAGGAAATAAAGTAAATGGGGTAAAAACACTCTATTGTGGAAAGTAAGAATGTGTCAAAAAAGGCACGTATGGCAATTCACAGTGCTGTGTTAGACCCTAATTTAACTTATGTTAGTGAAAGTTGGGTGTGGCAGAAGAAGCACGAGAGTAGAATAAATGCAGTCGTTAAGGAGTATGTTTGGGCTGAATCTGAGTGAGAAGGTGAGTAAGAATGTGATTTGTAAGATGATTTTATGACAAGGATTAAGAAAGGAATGCCTCGGTGGTTTGGTTATGTGGAAAGAATGAATGAGGAAAGAGTGACAAAGCAAATTTATGTTGCAGAAGTGAGCAGCAGAGTCGGAAAGGGACGTCCTAGGCGAAAGTTTATCACCCAAATTGGTGATATATTGAAATTGGGCCACATTAAGAGTACCTTTAACCGATGAGCATGTATGCGTGGATATATATGGATGTGGAGGCGAGAGCGGTTTGTCAGGGTCGTGCCTAATGGAATGAATGCCGGCAGAGGGTAGAGGAGGCAGAGGGGTAGGAGACTACAAGACGGAAGTCTTGCCTACCCCTCTGGGTGACAGGCGTGAGTTTATGTATGTATGTATATGTATAAATTATTTAAAAATAGTGACCCGCCCGGCTTCGCCTGGGTAGGATTTATTAATGCCGTGTTATTTAGGTTTAAAATAATAAAAAATAATAAATAATTTTGTCAATTTTCGCGATTTCCCTCCAAGTTTTGAAAAATATCAAATTTTTACGGATAAAATCCTAGATCACTACTAGTGCTGCTCTCTAACTGTTCATCAAGTATCATTACAATCGGTTCAGCCATTCGAAAGACAGAGGCAGATAGGCAAAATTTAAAAAAAAACTATTAATATAAATATTGTGATATTACAGACAGACAATTTTATTTATATGTATGGATTGTAATAAATCAAATGTTACCTTGTGATGGGCTAACTTTGAGGAAACCATTGCTGTCTAGCGGACTCACAGCATTGGACACAGTCGGCTCTTTGTTACTACGGTTATCTTGCTTGCCTTTTCCTGTTGAATTAGGGCTTGCATATGCTGAAAGTACATAAGATAAGTTAATTTAAAAATTAATGAGAAAATAAAGGTACATTTAACATTTTTATTTTTGGTATTTTTGTACACTATAAATAATGTTTCCTTTAAACACAGAACCAAATGTTTCTTATGCATATAAGTATATTTTCTCTTACTATATATTTAATATGTTAAGAGAAAACTTTCAAAGGCATGAAAGCATATTGCGCGCACGGAGGAGTGTGAGATTTGACATATTATTTAAGTGTATCCTTTAATGAGTACATAAAGCAAACATTGTGTTACAAATACATTCAATAAAATAAAACATTCATTGTTTACGTTCATACTGCTAATGTCAATTGTTAAACACATAATACTACGTGTTAAAACCAATCACACGGAGTAGAGATTGTCGCCAAAAATTATTAAAATGTGATAAAAAATAATTGCTGAATTGGTTGTAGTCGGCTCGACTCGGGTAGGGCCACGCTCTCACAGAATACCAGCGTAAAGTAGCAGCTTAATGCTGCTGTGTAAGTGTCAAGAATTGGAGAACCTTTTTATTGGAAACGAGGCATTCTATCTTAGCAACGACGCATCTGAATTCTGATTCTTAACTGAGGGTAAATGTAGATGTCTATGAGCCACAGCATCCACTTACCATCAGGTGGACTGAGTGTGAAGAAAAGGTAACAAACGAGAGAATGGTTGGCTGAGTGTGCTGTGAAGTTTATGTGATTTCTAATGTTTATTTTTTGTGGAATATTTATGTCAAGGAAAAAAGTATTTCTTTTATATTTCGTATAATATATGCATCTATAATAATATATTTAAAAATTTTATGATTTACGGTTGAATTTCACCACAGGATATATTAAATTTTACACACACACATGTTACATACACACTAGAATATATTAAATGTTATTGATATTGAAATATATAATTATATTGTTAAATTTACCTTTAAGACATCTCATCATAAATCCAAAAGGAAGAAGTGGGTCCATTAAACAAAGTAGCCGAGCTGGGCTGGGTATAAAACTGATAAGAAGTGGAGCATAAGCCATGAACAATCCTTCTGGAGGTCGTATTCCAGCCGAGAGGATTTTTAACGTACAACCCGCTATGAGGTTCGCCCCAGCCGAGTCTCCGGCGAAAACAATACGCTTTCCTGCAAACAAAATAATATTATGTACGGATTTAGTCAACTAAAGTTTGCTACTTATGTATAATAATTTGCCTTAGCACTTCGATCTGTAAAGCTCATACGGGGTGGCAAAGCAACAAAATTATATGTATTTACGCAACATTAATGTACATGCTCAATTTTATTAATTGATTTTTTAATCCATGGTTGTCAGAATTAATGTTTTGATAGAAAAATTGTCATTTGACGCAAAGCCCACGCATAAGACAATCGATTTATAATCTATTTAGAATAAAAATTTTACATACCTGTAGTACCAATCTCTTTGAAATTATTAAGCATCCAGCAATATGCATAGAACACTTCCTCCAATGCTCTTGGAAAAGGCGCTTGTGGAGCTAAACTATAATCAACCGACAGTATGGGTACGTTTAATTTCGTAGCCCATTCGCGGAGATAAGTTTCATGGGATTTGGAACTTTGGGAAACGAATCCGCCGCCGTGGCAATGGAATAGTACGCCATCTGCTGGTGGAAGAGATGAGGTGCCTTCATCAACCTACAAAAAATCCATTTATTATCGTGTAGCGTATATGATTTACTCATACGTTTTATTACCTTGAACATAGTACATAAGTATATGCATATCATATAGATATACTCATATAATATATGTATATCATACAGTCCCACTAGACACCACATCATATCTAAGAAAGGGATGATGTCCGACGAAGGTTAACCACCACTTTGGGACTAGTGTATTCGAATATTATTTAATTTTGAATATTATTGTAAACTGACGTGTGGTAACAGCGTAAGAGAATTCACAGCCACACCAAATTCAACTGTGGGTAATTCCAGAAAATCTTATGGCTTCCCACAGACAGCAGTATCTATTTCTTTTACGACAGACGTAAAATACCTACGCTAGCGACAGGCAATAACGCCATAGATATAAGACGTACCAGAAACTCCTATCTATAGTTTTTGCGTTGTAGCATGGTGCGGACGACATGTCACTAGAACGTAACTTGCGTGCGTTTGCTTACAACATACTACAAAATTTTTGTTTGTTAAAAAATAACACTGAATTTATTTTTATTAATTTTTCTTTTCTGTTATGACTATAAAATTAACATTAACTTAAGAAAATCTCATCTACTCACTAATTATTTACTAATTATTTTTACTAACAAAATTAGACAACTTTAATGTTTTCACTTGCGTGCGCACTTACGTACTATTTAATAACTAGAGATGTGCCTTATAATCGGACGTAAAAACTGTCAAGCGAATACAATTGCCAAAAATAAGTAAAATAATTCTATTTTAGTATGTGTGGTGCAATACCGTTATATCCATGTACGAGGGACGACTGAAAAGTTTCGAGCCTAAGGTATTAAAAATGCTGATAAAAAATTATACAAAATTTATTTTTCTATGTAATCTCCCACTACTTCAATGCACTTCTTTTTTTTTTTTTTTTTTTTTTATAGAAGAGGGGGCAAACGAGCATGTGGCTCACCTGATGTTAAGTGACTACCGCCGCCCATGATCAACCGCAACACCAGGGGAATTGCAGGTGCGTTGCCGGCCCTTTAGAAAGGAGTAAGCTCTTTTCTTGAAGGTCCCCAGGTCGTATCGGTCCGGAAAAATCACCGGTGGTAAATTATTCCACAGAGAGGTTGTACGCGGAAGAAAACTCCTTTTGAAACGTACAGTGGTGGACCGCCAAGCATCCAGATGGTGTGGATGGTATCGGGACGTTTGCCGTGTAGTGCGTTCACGAAATTTGGCGGCTGGGATTAATCCGAACAATTCCTCAGAGCACTCCCCGTGATAGATGCGATAAAATACGCAAAGAGATGCAACATCTCTTCGCAGCGCCAGTGAGTCGAGCCGATCGGAAAGCACTCGGTCGTCGACGATTCGAGCCGCTCTGCGCTGGATGCGGTCAAGTGGAAGGAGCTGGTACTGGGGAGCCCCAGCCCAGAGATGGGAACAGTATTCCATGAGCGGCCGAACCTGCGCCTTGTAAAGTTGCAGGCGGTGTGCCGGCATGAAATACTGTCCCGCTCTGCTGAGCACGCCAAGCTTTTTTAGAGGCCAATTTGGCCTTCCCTTCCAAGTGACCACGAAACTGCACGTCACTCGATATGTCGACGCCGAGGATTCCGATACTGGCTGAGGCAACAAGGGGAGTGCCTTGAAACTGAGGGGATACGACAAAGGGGTTCTTTTTAGCGGTTAACGCGCAAACTTGTGTCTTCTGGGGGTTAAACTGGACTAGATTTAGTCGCCCCCAATCCGAGACTCTGTCCAGCAGAGACTCGACTTCAGACACAAGTTTGTCCCGGCACTCAGAGACGTTTTCCCGAGAAATATTGGCTCGGCCGGTGTAAAGAGCATCACCAGTGCTGTCATCTGCATAGCAATGAATGCTACGGGTTTGCAACATATCATTGATATGCAGAAGAAACAGCGTTGGCGATAGCACGCAGCCCTGTGGAACACCAGCATTAATAAGCTTGCAATCGGAGCTTGCACCGTCTACAACGACCTTGATGCTCCGATCTGCAAGAAAACTGGTGATCCAATCGCACAATTTCTCGGGAAGCCCATAGGAAGGGAGCTTCGAAAGAAGCGCTTTGTGCCAAACCCGATCGAAGGCCTTCGCAATGTCCAAACTAACGGCCAATGCCTCCCCCTTGGACTCTACTGCCTCCGCCCATCTGTGAGTTAGGTAGACCAGAAGATCACCAGCTGACCTACCACGGCGAAAACCGTATTGGCGGTCACTAATCAGCTGGTGATCCTCAAGGTACCTCATGAGCTGGCAGTTTACAATGGACTCCATTGTTTTGGAGAACAAGGAGGTGATGGCGATAGGCCGGTAGTTGGACGGGTCTGAGCGGTCGCCTTTTTTAGGGATCGGGTGGACGAAAGCCGTCTTCCATGATTTTGGGACTACGCCTAGGGAGTAGGAGTACCGGAAAAGACGCATTAAAACCGGTGCCAACTCTGGAGCACACGTCCTCAGCACAATTGGGGGGATTCCATCAGGCCCACTCGACTTATAGATGTCCAGGGAGAGGAGTGCTTTGCGAACCGAGCGCTGAGTGAACTGCACTTCCGGCATGGAGCACTCACACCGCGGGATGGTCGGCGGCGTACTCCCCCCGTCATCGAGAGTCGAGTTAGACGCAAAGAAAGAGCCTAGAAGATCGGCTTTCTCCTTTGCGGTGTGGGCCAGTGAGTCGTCCTCCCTGTGCAGAGATGGAAGAGATGGCTGACAGAAATTCCCCTGGACAGCCTTGGCGAGAGACCAGAATGCACGGGTTCCAGAAGGAAGACGAACTAGTCTCTCGCCAATTCTGCCTATGTGCTCTGACTTTGCCTTGGCAATGACTCTTTTGAAGGACCTAGAGGCGGAATTATACTTCTTTTTTAGAGCGCTGGTGTTTACATCCCTGGACGCTGAAGCGTCAGCCCAGGCTCGGTAGCACTCCTGCTTATAGCATGATGCTATTTTACAGGAGCGACCAAACCATGGCTGAGATTTGCCTCCAATGGGCACCACAGAGGAAGGAATAAAAAGTTCCATACCCTGAAGTACCACATCAGCGACAGAATCCGCAACAACGTTAGGATCATCCGGCGAGAAGCAAACCCGCCCCCCAAGGGTAGGATGCAAAGAAAGACCGCATCCCATCCCAATCGGCTGACCTATAGTGCCAAACACGGCGGCAGCCTGCAGAATGCAACCGCGATTTCAGCGTGAGTGGCACCACACTCCGGACAAGACAATGGTCCGAGGAGCCTAAAGGGGCGTCGACGGAAATCTGATATCCGTCCGGGTGAGAGGTCAGCAGAAGGTCCAACAGGGAAGGTGCATGATCCTCCACATCTGGAATCCGCGTAGGCGAAGTAACCAGTTGTGTCAGACCATATGCCAAGGCAAAATCATGAACAGATCTCCCCGCATGATCGGTTAAACGTGAACCGAGCCATTCGGCGTGGTGGGCGTTAAAGTCGCCGAGGATCACGATCTCTGCGGAGGGGATCTGCTGTAGCAACGAATCTGCAGCCATTTGGACGTGGTCGAAGAGTCGGTCTGTTTCGGCATTACCGCTATGGGACCTATAGAGGCACCCGTAGATGCGCGGATGGTCGTCGCTGTCTACGCGTAGCCAAAGGATGGACAGGTCCGAACCTTCAAGTCTGCCGAGGCGTCGAGAACAGATGTCCTCTCTGACGTAAACGCAAACTCCAGCCCGAGGCACAAAGGAGTGTTCCAGTTTGTACCCCGGGCAGGAGAGATACGAGACATCAGCCGGAGAGGACACCTGCGTCTCGGTCAGAAAGAGCAGAGCCGGCCTCGCCGTCTCGAGATGGTAGTGGACGGCGTTTAGGTTAGAGTGAAGTCCCCTGATATTGCAGAAATTCACGGACAGCGTGGCAGGGGTCGCCTTGGTCTTGTTGCTCCGTTTGCCCCGAGCAGTTTTAGTCTTGAGCGGAATATTGCCCCCCCCCAGAATACGCGGGGCAGCCTGAGCACCCACGCTCAGAAGTGGAGAAACATGGTCGTGGATGCTCAGCGAGGGATTCTCCAGGGGTGCTGGTACCCTCCTGGGGTAGTCTATCATTTAATTCCGCTACCATGTTGATGGGGGGGGGGGGATTTGGGCCTCCGGCCACCTGCACTCACCAGACGAAACGCGGAAACAGAGCTTCCACTTCACGCCGGTATTCTGTGAGGTCGTGGTACCACCCCGGTCTGAGCCGGCCCATACGTGCGACAGCAAAGCTGCCGCGTGGCTCTACCACTGTTACATTTGTAATAAAGGGCTTTTAAACCAGTGAAAAAATATTCGGCATTTATGCCTTCGAAAATGCTCGTCTATCGTTGCCTTCATTTCGCTCGCCGAGATCTTTCTTCAAATTTGAAAATAAGTAAAAATTGCTGAGGGCTAGGTCTGGACAGTATGGTGGGTGATTGGTTTCTTCAAATTCAGTTTTATTCAGGGCATGCCTTGCAACTCGCGCAGTGTGCACGGGCGCATTGTCCTGTAAAAACAGGAGTCCTTCCGCCAGTTTGTCTCTCTATTTTTGACAATCACTTGATGCACTTTTCTGCAGCGTAATAGTCCCCGTTCATTGTACTATTCTTAATAAGGTAGTAAAATTCCTTCACAGTCCTAAAAACAGTGGTCATGAACTTGGATGCCGATCGCACCACTTTGAATTTTCGTCGCGGCTTTTCTCTCTTTTCAATCCACTGCATTGACTCTTGTTTTAAATCTGGAAAATATCGTCAGGATTATCGCCACAGATGTCTAAAAACTCCTGCGGAGTTCTCGACTCGACTCGACGCTGCTTGTCCAGAGGAGTAAGCATTTTTGGCAGTCATCGTGCGCACACTTTTTGCATGTGCAAATGAGTATGCAAAATATCGCCGATTCGTTCCTTGCAATAATGCCTATGGATTCAGCCATCTGCCACAACTTGATTCGCCGATCTTCTGGAACAAGTTTCTTTACTTTTTCAATATTTTCTTCGTTAACGGCAGCGTTTGGTCGCCCCGACCTGGGGTCATATTCTAGCGACTCCTGCCATGCTTGAATTCTCAGCGTCAACGTGTTTTACAGTGACGAAGGTCCAGACTCCCCGTAAACTGTCGACATCTCTTCAAATATTTCCGTCGGTCTTCTTTGTGAGGATTTTTATGACATCTCTCTACTCCGATTTCGTACAATGCGTAAACATCATGTCTCAGCGGATGACTGAGAGATGATGTTTACGGATTAATTACTAAAAGCGTAATGACGCTGATGATGTGAAAGTCTGTATGTACACTGAGGAGGGTATTCGCAAATTAATAATATAGAGCGCGAAACAATAATGACACTTGAAGGATTAAAGCTTTTCAGCCGCCCCTCGTATACTAATTTTAAGTAACTTACAATTCATTGAATAAAACTAAATTTACGGATTTTATCGCGTTTATTTCACTACTTTTACTTATTTTTAATTCCCGACGTTTCGGGTGCTTTACAGCAACCATGGTCACGGGGGGGGACTGAGATGTTTGACATCCCAATGTTAGTCCGTCTACCTTCAGTTTTTGAATATTAATTTTTGGTCCGATTTACGCAAAAAAAAATTAAAAAAAAATTAATATTCAAAAATTAAAAAAAAATAAAAAAAATAAATAAAAAAAAATAAAAAAAATTAAAAAAAATTTAAAAAAAAATTAAAAATTAATATTCAAAAACTGAAGGTAGCCGGGCTAACATTGGGACGTCAAACATCTCAGTCCTCCCCCGTGACCATGGTTGCTGTAAAGCACCCGAAACGTCGGGAATTAAAAATAAGTAAAAGTAGTGAAATAAACGCGATAAAATCCGTAAATTTAGTTTTATTCAATGTGTAGTGTTCGCGCAAATTTAAGAAATCATTATAACTTACAATTCATTTACTACTTTATTAATAAACAAATAAATAGAGAAAGTGATAAAATTAAGAAAATTAAATTAAATAATTTTATATTTATTCCGACATTTGGTTCAGAAACTTTTAAACTTTACGCGTATTGTGTTGGCGACATACAGATAGATATCATTCATGCTGTTTTGTTTTTCTCTCACCGAGTGATGCTGCCCAACCTACCATGCATGCGATGTCGTCAATTTGACCATCATTTATTATTTCATTCTTTTACTAGTAATTAGCATAGTACCTAAGTAACATGCTGCGGTTTAGACAAGTACATTTAATAAACTGCAAAAGTCTTGTGGGTTGGTACTTCCACTAGTCAAGTTCTTCAAGCGTTTGTAGGTACTGTTGTTTTCAATAAATAAAGTGACGCATGCGATTCAAACATTTTATTTGGGTGTTTGAGGTTACAATTTAATTATGAATCAAATTCTAATGATTATGAATGAATGTGTCCATTTTTATTTTATAACACCGTTTTTGAGCGTTTTTGGAAAAGCATGCGTTGTGAGTTCATAAGATTTATTACTTTTTTCAGATTAACATTAAAATGAATCATTTAGAAAATTCATCGTCTGCAACGATAACTAATAGTTCAATAAATACTGATTTGCCGAAAAAGTAAAACACACAGACGAATATGCAGTTTTTCCAATATTTGGACGATAAATTATTCGTTCTTACCTTAGTCCCAAAAAATAATTATTAAGCACATTGAGCATTGTGTCATAAAGACTTTAGTATAATTCATGGTTGCCTAAATGACTACAAAAAACCTTTATTTTAATTTTTTAAGTTTGTAAACTCTCGATAACAGAAACAGAAACTTTTGTATTCAATGTAGATTATAAAAAATACTTATTGAAAGTCACTTTTTTCATTTACCACTGGTTCGCAAATAACACCTATGTCCTGGGAAGAACCAGCAAGAAACCCAGTGGGACTTTTTTTTGCAATAAAAGCTTACAATAATGTTTACAATAAACAACACAAGACAAATTAGAAATAGCTTGGTAGCGGTCACCCTTCCCAGGGGTTATAATCATCCATAAATTCCTTAATATTATAATAACCCTTTTTATACAAACTTAGTTCAATAACATTTTTGAACTTTGATAATTTTTGTTTTCCCGATATTTGATCCACTGGACCTAGCAACACTAACAATACACATAAATAGCAAAAAGCGCTAGCACTCGTGCCGAGAAAAGCTGCAGGTGCTGACTGACGCTGTACTAAAAATCACAGGTGCTGGCAGCCATTAATTTTATTCGTTTTAATGTCAAGATGAATGTTGCAATTAACATAAAATATAAGATGATTTTTATTTTCAAATTGATACATAGTATAATATGTAACTATTATGTCATAATTTGTATTAAACTGTAACTAAAACGTACGTGCACCTTAAATTATAAAGAAATATATATAGCGGTTTTAATTATTTTATTGATAGCTAATCGACAATTTTTGCTTTGCTTTGTGTATCGTTAATCTCCTTTTTTAAATCGAATTAACATTGTGCCATCTCTAGATACGCTTAACTGTAAGCTGTCACCCGCATAATGCTATAACGCAAAGACTATAGAAACTAATAATGATGAGGAAATTTATGTTGAAAATACCTAGTATTATTTATTAGTTTTTTAAATGCAAATATGTTTATTAATATGTCAGTACAACTTACCATGTCTGCCCTTTTATTGACGCTAATCAATCTGACATTGAGACTCTGAAGGCCAATGTGTACAGTAGGCGGTAGCACCGTTTTTTCTTTGCCTTCCATAGTTGTTACAGTGATAGGCTCCGGTGGAATAGTTATCAACTTATTTACAGCGACCGCCGACGATATAAGGCTCGGTACTCGCTTCATTATTTCTTGAAATAAATTAAAATATTGTAAGTAAATTGTTAAAGAACTTATCGTCGCATTTTGAGACACTATATGCATTCGGTGTAGTATTATGAATTTTATTAAAGATTAAGAAAATAATAGAGGAGAACGAGGAATAACTATTATTATTAATGATTGCCTCGTTGGTTTACTGGTTGTAGTAGTACGACTACTGATCATGAGGTCCTGGGTTCGAATCCCAGGTCGGCCCAAAAAAAAAACAATTATTGAGGTTTTCCGTCAAGAAATTTTCAGTAGCTGCCAGAAGTCAGGAAATTGGCGTTGTCTTACTCCCGTGCATCGAAGCACGTAAAGCCGTTGGTCCTGCGCCTGATCTCTTTCTGGTCGTGTCGGTTTACAGTCCCATCTCACTATGAGAGTGAGAGAATAGAGAGTACCCCTGTGCTTGCGCATTACACTAGGGCACTATAATCCTGTCCTGAGTCTATGGTTAGTTTCCGTTGAGGCTGGCCGCCGTGACCGAAATTCGGTCTGAAGGACATTATTATTAACGAGAAATTGAAAAAAAAAATTGTAAAGTTGCAGTGTAAGAATATTCACTACCCATATCATTCCGCGGGTGTTGTAAGGGACGGCAAAAAGAAACAAATATGGAGGTCGGCAGCATCGTCTTCCTAATAACAAATAAAAAATAAAAAACTGACAACCCGCCTGCCAACTTCACAACTACGCCAAATGTTTCTTATACGAGGTGATGGGGATGTCTATGTTCAGCAATGGACTTTGATAGGCTGTAATTAAGCTGAAATTAAGGAGAAGGTGTATTTGTATAGATGTTACGTCTGGATTAGATGTGTGTCTTGAACGGTTTAACGGATTCTAATGAATCATGATAAAAAGTCGACTATATTTTGGTAAAGTATATCGTCATCATCATCATCATTACGGCCCTTCACAAGTCTACTGCTGAACATAGGCCTCCCCCAAGGAATGCCACAAAGCACGGTCCTGAGCCACCTGCATCCATCGACTTCCTGCATGTTTCGATCATTCCGGTACGAAGCTGCCACTCGAGAACCTTGTTTTCCCTATGGGTTGTCGGTTCTTCGAGCTATATGGCCGACCCATTGCTACTTCAGCTTACTAATCCGTTGGGCTATGTCGGTCACTCCGGTTCTACTGCGGATATCCTCATTTCTAAATTTAGTACATAGGATACTTTTATCTCAATTATTATCTTGTTTATCATCAACATAAAGTGGTTCAATGGAACCTGCTTGTATCGAAAATACAAAAAAGAAATATATTCACCTTAAACATTAATAAAACAACATTTTTATCATTTATAAAAAACTTTTCCCTTTACCATAAACAATGCAAAAGACTATAATGATTTTTATTCAATATAGATTATTTCATAATACCTATTGAAAGTCATTTTTGGTTCGGAAAATACCTGGGAATCTCAGATCCTGGGATCATCAATCATCATCATCAAATCCTGGGAAGAACCAGCAAGAAATTGAGCAGGATTTATTTTTTAAAACATATTATTACACTTTACAATAATGATGCACAATTTTTTAAATAAATTTTATTAGAAATAGAACCAGCATGGTGGCCATTCAATACATACCACTTTCTGCTAGAAACCAGAACGCCTTGCAGAATTCCACGCTCGCCGATTGCGATATGTTGACTATCCTCCGAGCTCTCATTTCTGGATCAATAATGTACTGCCCACCCGTCCACACTGAGCTGATCAAGTTGCCGTGACTATAATATGCCTCTGAGAAACCCGCCATGCATATCGAAATGCCTTTTAATATTCCACGCATTGAAGGTGCAAACTAAAAAAAAACAGAGTCAGTTCCCACCGACGATAATATTTACGGAATAGTTTTATCGCTTGAATTCCATCGTAGTTGGTCAGTTTTTTTATAGGAGAGGGGGCAAACGAGCATGCGGCTCATCTGATGGTAAGTGACTACCGCCGCCCATGATCAACTGCAACATCAGGGGAATTGCAGGTGCGTTGCCGGGCCGGTTTAAAAAAGGCTCTTTTCTTGAAGGTCGCTAAATCGTATCGGTCCGGAAAAACCCTGGCGGTAATCGGTTCCACAAGGAAGTTGCGCGGGGAAGAAAACTTCTTCTAAATCACAAAGTGGTGTAACGCCAATCATCCAGATGGTATGGATGATATCGCGAGTTTTGTCGCGATGTGCGATGGTGAAAATGAGCGGCTGGAATTAGTCCGAACAATTCCTCACTCCCCGTGGAAGATGCGATAAAATACACAAAGAAATGCACGCAATGGAGTCAAGCTGATCAGAAAGAGGTGAGTCGCCGACGATTCGAACAGCTCTGCCCTGGAAGCGATCTAATGGAAGGAGCTGGCACTGGGGAGTTCCAGCTCGGAGATGGGAACAGTATTCCATGTGAGAGCGAGCCTGCACCTTGTAAAGTTACAGGCGGTGTGCCTGTCAGGTGCATTGCAGGTGATGGTGTGATGTCATTAACTACAATCAACTTTTTACCCTTTTTACCTCAGTGGTCTAATGGTATAGTGTATATACCGCTGTATAAATCGTAATATTTCCGAGATTTTGTGAGGTTTAGTGGTCTCTTGGATGCTTAATCAGCGAGCAATCCATATTTTTTTAGAAGAGGGGCAATCGAATATGCGCTTTACCTGATGGTAAGTGATTACCGATGTCTATAAACAACTGCAATACCACGGAAATTGCTAACGCGTTGCCGGCCTTTAAAAAAAGAGTAGGCTCTTTTCATGAAGACGCCTAAGTCGTATCGGTCTGGACAAATCGCTGGTAGTAATCGATTCCACAAGGAATTTGTGCGAGAAAGTAAACTTAAACTTAACTTAGATTGCTAAAAAACTAATTGTTGGTTACGAGACTGGTTGTAATGAAATCATTCCTGTATCTCAGTATCAAACCCTCCCTCCTAGCACTGAATTTAGACATGCGCAACATTTATGGGTAGCACAATGGCTATTAATAAATCCTAATAACAAGGCTCATTGGTGATACCATTAACTACTTAACTACCTTCTTCCACCCGTAAAGGTAGAAAAATAGGATATAAAGTTTTGTTGTGAATTTTGTAACTATTTACAATACATGCCAGTGGTACCTTGAGTTTGAATAATTCTTAGTCCACTCAAAAGCGTTCTAAACTTTAACATTTAAATTATTAAACCCGACTTCAAAGAACTTGAAAAAAAAATAATTTCAAATACGGAATGCGGACTGGACTTTAATTCTTCTATAATGTATTTATGTGATTTTTTTAAATGAAGGTATATCATCTTTCCTCTCGCTTTCCCGCAATCTGTGAGAGCTGGGAGTGATTTCGTGAAAAGGGACCTCCCGTCCCTTTTATGTAACAGGAAGCCGGAGAAGCGCGCTTTAATCGATTTGACCAATCAGTGCGTGCGGTGGTAGTAAAGTATTAAAAATATTAACTAATTTATATGGGTTAACTATGATAATTAATTTATTTGCTGTTGATAATAAGTGCCTTAAAAAAGTGCAGATCATAGATAAAAAATACAAGTGAGTAATAATGAATAATTATTCGAATAAACTATTGATATTTTCAATTTTGATTTTTTTAAAAAATATAGCTTTTTCTCAGAATATAATCTTAATGTTGCTTATTACTAAGGTGAGATGTCAGATGATACACATCATATGCGACTACTGTGAGGCTCTTATTTTATTTTTTTGTTGAGTTTACTGAAGTTGGCTTTTACTTATTAAAGCTTAATTTTTATCACTAGTAGTCCGCTACAACTCTGACTTTATCCAGTGGAAAAACAATTAGAAAAAAGATCATACATTTCTTACTGTCCCATTTAATAACATTATAAATAAATACCTGAAAACCGAGACATCTGCCGTAGAAACAATACTGATTAATAGTGTCTGCTTGGGAGAATAATTCTTCTGGTGAGTGCTGCTCCGTGGGGAATAGGTCTCCGGGAGGGGCCCAAGACAACAAAGTTTGTAAATGATGTAGGCAGGTCCCTAAAGATGCAAGAAGCTGCCCGCAGGATTCTACCTCTCTAAAAGTAAAATATATTTTTTTAATTATCACAAACTCTATATTATTAATATTATCAAGTAATAATATTAATAATCCAGACCGAATTTCGATCACGGCGGCCAGACTCCACGGAGACTAGCCATCTAAGCAGGACAGGATTATAGTGGCCAAGTATATGCGGGACGGTAAAGCGACACGACCGGAGAAAGATCAGGCGCAGGAATAACGGCTTTACGTGTTTTCCGAGGCACAGGGGGGGGGGGCATGGGAAATATATTTATAATTGACAGGGAAGTCACCCACTTCTTCATGCGCAACCCGATGCATTAAACAGCAATCGAAAAGACATAAAAAAACAAAAGACGAATCTTATTACATTTGTTTAGAGGATTCAGATGCCTCTACTGCAAGTAGCGACAACACAGTCTTATCAGCAGGCAGCATCGCTGACGTAGAAACACTTCAATACTTAAATAATAAAGACATCAGTTCAAGATAATTGATAGAATCAGGCGTTACTTTGCGGAAATCCATTATAATAAAGATATTAATATTTAATCTGCGACAATCCGCCTCATTAAATACAATGATGTGTCTTACCTAGATTGAAGAGCACCTCCTGCCCTCCCTCAATTGTGTGCACTAATCCCGTCACCACGACTCCCGGCACCACCACTCCCAACACCACTATTCCATTTAAATAATTTTAAAAATATAACACCTATTTGCCTAGTTTTGCCCCTGCGACTCTTATCTTTTGGAGGGATGATAATGAGAACTCATCGAAGAAAAATTAGTGATAAAATGTTTACAGAACTGGTTTTAATAAGTCTCAATTAAAACCTTAAAATATAATATTTTCTTACATTTATGCGTTTACTGTTATATTATAATTAATCGAAAAAGATTAGCCAAATAAACCTTAAGTTAGGATTAATAAAAATGTGTTTCAAAAAGTATTTTAATTTTAAAAAGTATTTAGAAAATACTGTACGTATCTTGTACTATTAGATATCTAAAATACTTAAGCTTAAAAATATCTTGAAATTTATATTCCAGATGATGATACCTTTTAAGGTATCTTGTACATCTTTGTAAGCATGACGTTTATAATATCAATATGCTTATGCGCGTAAACAATCAATAAAAAATCTCAAATTAGTTATATGCTGCTAGCCACCGGTTTGGTCCGGGTAGTTTTCGTGCGGCATATTTGTGATATCTACTGCCATCTTGTGCAAGCCAAATTCTACCGTACGCCTTGAGTGGGCATTCTATCCGAGCACACAGCAGGAAGAGACGTGTGGCATGCAAGAAAATCTACAAAGAATTAAGTTGTACTGAACACTGGCTGCTCGAAAATATTAAATTATAAATAAATATAATCAAGGCAAATATTATACCAAATTTGTCCTGCCAAGTTCAAAAACCGACCACACTTTATTAAAGAAAGATCGTATAAAAAGGGTTATTAATTAAGAATTTATGGATGATAATAACCCCTAAAAATGAGGTGGTCGCATCAAGCTATTTCCAATACGATTTGTTTAAACAATTGTGTAAAATAATATACACGATTGTGCACTGTTCGTTTTTTTAAACTTGTCCTGTAGGATGTTTTTCCTGATTCTTCCTAGGACATATGTATTTTATTTCATTTACAGCATTACAGCCCTTCACAAGTCCACTGCTGAATATAGGCCTTCCCCAAGGAATGCCAAAAAGCACGGTCCCGAGCCACCTGCATCCATCAACTTCCTGCATGTCTTATCAGGTCGTCACTCCATCTAGTGGGGGGTCACCCTACACTACGCCTACCGGTACGAGGCTGCCACTCGAGAACATTTTTTCCCCAACGGTCGTCGGTTCTTCGAGCTATATGGCCGGCCCATTGCCACTTCAGCTTACTAATCCGTTGGGCTATGTCGGTCACTGTTCTACTTCGGATATCCTCAATTCTAAGTTTATCACGCAGAGAAACTCTGAGCATAGCCCTCTCCATAGCTCGCTAAGCGACTACCCTTATACGGCCAGCAGTGAAGGGCCACGTCTCAGATCCGTAAATCATCACTGGCAACACGCACTGGTTGTACCATCTTGTTTTCAGGTTTTGAGGTATACCTGACGAGAAGATGTGTCGTAATTTCCCGAACGCTCCCCAGCCGAGTTGAATCCGCCGAGTGACCTCTCAATCGAAGTTGGACTTACCTAGTTGGACTATTTGTCCCAGATAGACGTACTCGTCAACAACTTCGAGCTTAGTGCTCCCAACAACTACCGGCACAGGTGTGACACGGACATTAAACATGATCTTTGTTTTGTCCATGTTCATCTTAAGACCTATCCGTCGGGAGACATTATTGATGTCATTAAACATAGTGCTTAGGTCCTCCAGCGATTCTGCCATAATGACTACATGGTCAGCAAACCGAAGGTGAGTGATGTACTCGCCATTGATGTTAATACCGTATCCTTTTCAGTCCAGTAGCTTAAAAACGTCTTCCAATGCAGCGGTGAAGAGTTTCGGGGATATGACGTCACCCTGTCTAACACCTCTATGCAGTTGGATAGGTTTCGAACTCTGGTTCTGTACTCAGATAGCCATTGTAGCCCTACTGTACAAACATTTCAGCACTTCGCTTTACCGACAGTCAACTTGGCACCGCTAAAGGGACTGCAGCACCGCCCAAATTTCGACGGAATCAAAGGCTTTCTCATAGTCCACATACGCCAGGCAGTGGTATATTTCTACAGATTCTCTTCGGTCTTCTATACAATCTGCCGCAGGGTATGTATTAGGTCCTTACATATGAGATTAGCGTTTTGTCGTACCGATTACTTTGACCTGAAATATCTCCTCTTTAGTTAAGAATTCCAAATTCAAATTTATAAATTCATTTAGCTGGTATATTTGAGTTATGAAAACAGTCATTCATTTGTTTTTTTACTCATTTTTTTCTTTGGCATCGCTTATTACCGCACAATGGAAAACATGAAATATCGGTATATTTACGAGTACGAGTTCTACCGTGGCACCAGTGCTGCAGAAACAGCTCGAAGGATTAATAATGTGTACGGCTCTAGTGTCGGAAAATAAAGCACGGTACGTTTTTGGTTTCAACGTTTTCGTTCTGGAAATTTCGACCTTCAGAACCAACCCCGTGGACGCCCGGAGACCAAAGTGGAAAATGAAGAATTAAAGGTATAATGTGGAAGCGGATCCATCACAAAGCACTTCAGAGATAGCTGCAGGCTTCGGGGTAAGTGATAAAACTGTATTATTAATCCACTTGAAGCAAAACGGGAAAGTAAAAAAACTTGAACCTCATGAAATGAGTGAATGGAACTTGCAAACACGCGTCGACTGCTGTGTTACTTTCCTCAACCGACACAAAAATGAATGGATTTTAAATCGAATCATTACTTGTGGTGAAAAGTGGCTACTGTACGATAATCGGAAGCGCTCGCCGCAAAGGCTAAACCCTGGAGACCCAGTGAAATCCTGCCCTAAACGAAAATTGACTCAGAAAAAGTTACTTGTGAGTATTTGGTAGACTAGCGCCGGTTTCGTTCTTTACAGTCCAAACCGCCTTCAAAGAGTTTATTGATTCTCGTCCCATGGTTATTTTAGTAAAGGGATCAATTAACTACCTATTAGATGGCAAAAGTGCATAGATAACAACGGTGCATACTTTGATTAATTAAATATATTTAAAAAAAAACTGTTTTTATATTTTAGGTCCACGTATCTAAAAGCGCGAGCGTTCTAACCAAAATCTGACAGGTTGACTAGAAGCGCGTGTGGGGATGTGTACGGATGTATGGACTTGACGGTTTTAAAACGCTCGTTACCAAAGCGCGCGCTTTAAACGCCTAATGTGTACTCGCTCATAAAGTACTTAATTTCAATCACGTAATAAAAATCAGGGTTGTCATAAACTTGAATAAATATTATTAAAACTCATTTTAAAGTAGAGGAAGTTATGATCAATTCGTATATTATAAAATTAGTTAGTTATTAGTAGTAGTATAGTATGAAATTAATTTTTAATTTAAAAGTTTAACAAAAAATGTTCTTGCTTTTCTATCAGACATTTGGTATTTATTAAGAACACCTTATATTATAATAATTTTTGTGCAAGACAAAAACAAGAAATAAAAACTTTCAGGAATGTTCAGGAGTGGGTTGTAATGATGATGACGATTTGAAAACTTGGATTCATTAATTTATACCAGTCATTTTTACACCAGTTAGAGTCCACAGAATTAGTAATTAATGTATATTATAATATCAAAGAATACATAAATTAAAATAACCGCTGGAATGCCTGGGAATGAGTTAATGGCCATTATGCTGGTTCTATAAAAATCATTAAAAATTGTAGAAACAAAATTAATATAAAGTGATAAATGTTTAAAAAATTCCCGCTGGGTTTTTTGCTGGTTTTTCCCGGGATAGGTATTTTCCGAACCAGTGGTAGATACAAAAATGACTTTCAATAAGTATTATGTAATAATCTGAATTGAATGAAAATCATTAATTTGTCATTTCATTATTAAAAAAACGATGTGCTAAATAATTTTTATGATAATCTGTCTAGTCATAAAAGAAAAATCGAACTGATTAAATCTAAAACCACTTATAGTAAGGTACAAGTGGTTTTAGAAATAATCGTAATGTAGTAAAACATTTTTTTATTGTTGTCTGTTGTAATACATATTTCATGTTCGTGACATGCATGATTCAAAATTAGAAGTGGTTACAAATTTATTACTGTCCCTCTTAAAGTTACCTATAGTAGTTACCTACCAAAAACTCTAATTCTATGCTACACTGGCATTATATACACAAGAGGATGACATTCGGTGGCTGGAATTTGAGCCAACACGCCTTTTTCTGCTTATCGACGTGTTTAAAATATGATCGTAAATAAATATTCATTAATTTTTTGAATTGATTAAAACAAATTAAAAAAATACACTGTGCTCTAATTAAAACAGCAGTAATTTTTAAATTTGAAATTGACATTAAAAGGCCGGTAATAGACCGGGAACAGGGATTAGCGTCAAATAAATAAGTGAAACGTCGTACTGCGATATCATACATAAATTAAAATTCAATGTCAAATTTCAATTAGTATAAGGATTGCCGAAGGTGAAGATACTGATGATGGCGTCATAATACCTAAAGTTGTATTGAAACGTTTTGTTGAAATGGATCAATGTTTTTAACCCAATTACAGCCAATTGAAATAATTCTGGAACTGAGTCAAACCCGATTTCACTACATTATTCAAAATTCCTTTGTGATGTTTTAAATACCTATCATATCAAGTAATTCCACGACGAAATCGAATACAATCAACTAAGTACAAAGAATATTGGGTAATATTTTTAATTTAAAATGGCGAAATCTAAAAGCGACATTCAAAAAACTTGTAGCAGACAATATGTTTCACAAATCAATCAATTAATTGTTGTACATGGGTTTCTACAAAAACAATTTAAAATTATAGTAAATATCTTATGCTCGACACACACGGTCAGTTAAACTGATAAGTTGATCTGACGTACATTCAAATACTGACCGTGAGTGTGAAATCTTGAGTTGAAATTTGAAGTGAGTGAGTGGAGATATCGTTTTGGTTTACATCTGTTTCAATTGATCAGTTTAACTAACCGCGTGTGTCGGCTATTAGAGTATAAGAAAATTATACTTATTTATACTCTAAGGTAATTATAAAAAGACAGAATAACATGACTATACTCATATTAGTACATAAATCAAGACATCATAACCAGTAAAACTCTATCTCCATTGCATCGTCGATGATAAGCCTCTACAGATTACTCCAACCAGCAGATCCTCATATTATTGTAGGGTGGGGGACGCGCGGCTTTTTAAACGAAAAGCTTTTTTTAACGATTGTCGGGTGCTTTGAACTATTAGGTCATTTGAACTTTATAATGTAGGAAATAGTGAATGCAGATATGGCAGATAATGCTTGTAGCATTAAATTCGCATTTTGATCCCTATTCAGTTTTTACAAGTTCCATAAAGATTAAAAATAAATAAATATATATAAAGAAAAAAAAAAAATACTAATAAAAAAAAAAGGGGAACAAAAAAAAAAAATTTTAAAAAAAAGAAGTAAAAAAAAAAAAAAGAGTTTAGTTAAAATTTTGTATTTTAAAAAAAAAAAAAAAAGGAAATATAAAAAAAAACCCCCTTAAAATATATTGTAGCCGAAAACACGAAAAAAAAGACATTTAAAAGATCGATTTATTGCCCCCGAAACTCCCCGGACACTAGTTTTTATGAAAATCGGTGGAGCCGTTTCCGGGATTCCGATTATATATATATACAACATGTAACTCAATTAACGCACTTTGAGAAAGTAGTTTGCTCAGAATCGTTTACTGAATCTATTCCTATCATTTTTAATATAGGTAATTTTTTATCCCAAAAATAATTAAAACTACGTAAATTACAGTCACACTAAATCTGTACAGTCAAAACAAACTGAAATGGACCGTAACTTAAGGCAATAAGATTTTTAAGAGTGCAGTTTTATTTGTATTATAGTATAGGATTTGTCCCATAGTCTTATATTTATATTTCATATCAACTTTGGTTACGCTGACACAATTAGTAGTTTTGTGGTTTATATAAATTACATCGCATGCAACATTGTTATATTGTTTACAAATTAGTAAAGATATTAAATTATAGCCTTAATATGACTATTTATAACAAATCAGTTAATGATTAGGTACTAAACGATGTAATTAATTAAACATCAGATTTATTGCTATAGTTCGTGCCAAATCGATTAAGAAAAACGGACGATGACCTCAGATATGAGCCCAGTGTCCAAAGGCATAACTTACAAAATCTCAATTTAGATGTGATAACAATATTTAAATATTGATATTATTCACGCTTCTAGGTCAGCACATATGTTTTGCTTTTTTGTTTCTTAAATAATATTGTCTGTGGTACATCAAATCTTACGGTACATCGCGAAAAATGTGTTATATTTTATATTTCAATTTATGGTAAGTAACGCAGCAATTCATTTAATAACAGTTTCATAACTAAAAAAAAACATTTAAAGCAATATAATCACCATATTGAGCTTTTGCAAATTCAACGTTACGTCAGTTCGTTCTAAAAGAAACGTGACAATGGCAGCCAGAGATGCGTCACTTTTTTTGGGTCAGTCCGCATGCACCGAATAAAAATAAAGCTCTTATATAATATTGAAAATAAAGTTTTATCTTTTGAATAAGTACGTACTTACTCGGTGTCGATATCACTCGAATCTTTATATGTGTTATAAAATAATGCTTTTTGTTGTTAAATGAATAAAGTACTTTATAACAATAGATGATTTTTCTTCTACAGCGATCTTTTACATAACTTTTTAATAATAGTTAATTATATTATATCAATCATTATAAAAAAAATCATTATAAATAAATAACGTACTACATATAAAATGTGCCTATATATTGAAGGTTTGTAACCACTAGTTAAACGACCGAAAGATCAACGTCCATTTTTCTTAATCGATTTGGCACAAACTATATAACATGTCCACAATATAAGAAGTTAATAGAAGCTCCAATAAAAAATCCAGCAGTTATCAATATAGATTACAATTTACCATAAAGTATAAAATAATTTAAAAAATATTTAGGCCCATTTTTTAAATTTTTTATTGACATGTAATAAAAAATTAATTTGGTACGACTGCTCTATTGGTCTAGTAGTCGTTAGCGCGACTGATGAGTTATTGGGTTTTTCTGCCAAAAAATGATTAAGCTATTGGTTTATCAAAGTACCCGGTTGACCGAGCTTTGCTCGGTATTTTTCGCTCGGTTTTTTTAATTCGTGTGTTTTGGAAATTATATTTATATACAAATTACATACTGACGACATACGAATAATATTTTTTGATCTTAGCGACATAATAGAAAAAACTGAACTGGTTATTTGAATAAAAAATCATGAGTGCAATTAGTTTAATTTAAATTTTCGTGTTTTTAAAAAATACTAAAAAAAAGGGCTCGAAAAAATAGATTTTCTCAAAAAAGAAAGGAACTTGAAAAAAAAATTAAAAAAAGTCAGTCGGTCGGTCTGGGCTCGACCCATGGTATTACGATTTTGTGACCGCCCAATATACCAATTAAGCTATTTGTAATCATTAATAAACTGTCAAAATTTACCTTCTTATTCTAATGATATTGTAGCAGTTTTTCATTGCCTAAAAACACGGACAAAAAGACATTTTCTAAAAATAAATCCTAGCTAGATCGATTAATGCCCCCGAAACTCCCTGCACACAAAATTTTATGAAAATCGTTGGAGCCATTTCCGAGATTCCGATTATATATATACAAGAATTGCTCGTTTAAAGGTATAGGATTAATAAATTTGTCAGATTTTCCTTTAATATGATTGTATGAGACAGCTTGGTGCCCACAAATTCGTCTATGAGAGTATTTTGCAAGTGGAGAATGCTTCCAATTATATTAAAAATAGAAAAAAATCAGGTAATCTTACCTCACAAAATAACCTTTGCGAAAAAGTAGCGCATCTCTTCCAGAACAAACTTGTCTGCTAAGCTTTAGTCCATGTAATATACAAGAGTCAACAACTGACACAAAGCTACGATATCCATTCCCTGGACTCTTAGAATCAAAATCATAAAGTGGTGCTACCTGAAAAAATTAACAAAATAATAAATGCTATTTCGCATTCAAAGAGCAGTGGCAGAATTAAATTATGATCCTTAAAGTACTAAATTTTATACAATACTGCTCTATATGTTCTCATATTATATTCAATATAATGTAATATGATTCATAGATAACATAAGGTATAAAGATCAAACAGAGTTCATCTCAAATGTTACACATGTGTTGTTTATAGTAAACATGTTAGTAATAAGTAATAACACACATGTTAAATTAATGAGCCTGTCTTTAGTGTTAATGTTAAAATGTTTGGGTACTGACTATGTATGTATACAGGTCTTTGATAGATGGGTGCAAAGCCTGAAGAGGATGATACCTTAAACCATTTATTTTAGAACATATTAAGATAAACTTGTTTAAAACAAATTCTGCACCCTTTTTCTAAGGAATTTTTAACAATAAAGTCCATTTTTTTAGTCAATTAATTGCTAATAGTGTCCAGTAACAGTTGTTATTTTTATTTATGTAATGTATGATTCCAAGCATCTTCATCATCAGAAAAACATTCTAAGCATATTAAACTTAAACATGTTGTGTTTATGCCATCATAAATAAATAAATAAAATAGCCTTTGTTATTCAAACCTTTTTAAAAACATGCTTAGTTATTGTCCTTTAATTCCAATCAACATTCCGACGATTACTCTTGCCCACATAGTTACTGAAAATTTCCTTTCAAATGACACTTGCTTTTTTCAGTTTGGATTGCTGTCCCTGCCAGCCCATCAATAGAGGCTATGAAAGTTAGTAATTCTGTCTTCGAAAACTGACTCATCAGTCTACAAGATATAATGTCACTATATAGTAAAAAGCGACAGAACTGATTTCTTCATGGGGATCTTCATTTTCCAAACCTTGTGCACCCGTGCCATAAAAAGAATACTTGTTTTCTTGGTGCATCGTATTCCACACCCTTTATACTGAAATGTTGAGTTTTGAACTACTGCTCTGATGCTCATACTAGGATCTGCATCGAAAGTTGCAATAATGTCTTCCTCGTCACTTAGGCCATGTCCTCCCGGATTGACTCTTGAAGGTTTCGTGTGATTTATTCCAAATTCAGAAAGTCCACTAAATGTGCAGTAAAACACTCCGACATTTGGTAAGCTTTGATTCGAATATCCCTCTTGGTACATTTGCCGTGCCAAAAATCCATTACCATCAGCTCTACCATTCATGAAGATCAGCATATTCCTCATTAGTAAAAGCAGCCATAGTTGATTTATCATAAAAATAGTCAGATAATAGTGAAGGAGTACACAGCTAGGGCTAGGCTCAACTCAATAATAAAGAACATGCGAAAAAAACAAATTAAAATGTCTAGTCACAAGAGCAGTCATTACTTGATTGAGGGTCTAAAGATATGAAGAACCCGCCCTATGCCCTACTACTTGAGTACTGATCCTAACTAGTGTGAATAAATAACGACTTTATGTGATTTACTAAGCTGATTGATCTATTTTTTAAAAGTCTATCCACTATGAATATAAACAGAAGCAGATACTTTTTTATTCAATATAGATTATAAACAATACTTATTGAAAGCCACTTTTTTCATTTACCACTGGTTTGCAAAAAAACCAGCAAGAAACCCAGCAAATAATAGCTTACAATCACATATGTTACAATTAACGACATAAAACAAATTAGAAATAGCTTGGTAGCAATCACCCTTCCCAGGGGTTATTATCATCCATAAATTCCTTAATATTATAATTACCCTTTTTTTAATAATATAATATATATTTTTTTGACCGAGTTGGCCAAAGCCGAAGCTTTGGTCGGACACTGATGTATACACATTAGATACATGTTATGGGACTTAAAGGTGGCACATGACAAGTACCTCAGTTTTACACAATACCTAAAACTGAGGTACTTGCCTAGCATGTTGTAAAAGGTGATTTATAGGACATTAGGTAATTGTATTTTGATTTTTGCTTACAAGAGACCTTCTTATGTCGCATTCTTCATTTTGGTACCTAGTTTTAACTTCATAAATAACACATTTTTATACTACCACAGTCTTTCTCTTTGTACTAAACAAATATATCTACTTCAGTGTATGGGATCACAACCCAACTATATATCTTCATTTTTTATTCGGAATACTAAAATGTTTTTTATGCTTCCAGACATTTGTATCAAAAAGTTTATAAGGAATTTATGTGTATTAAGAGTAGGGTTAATTTCACTTAATATATTCCTGGAATAACATCTAAACTTACCTTATATGATATTTTACCTTAATTGTGTGAGTGTTCCACCTATTATACCATATAGTATCATTGTATGAATATCCAACACCCCATATTGTCCCAAGGATGTTATAAAAGGTGACAGAGGGTGACAAACTTGGAGCTGGGTATCAGCATCTTCTTAATAACAACTAAACAATAAAAACCTGCAGTTGCCAACCTACCTGCCAAGCCTGGCAACTGAGGAAAATAACCCTCCAATAAGCAACCATTGGAGACTCAAATAAGAAACCAGGGGAGATTTATGATCAGTAGCAGATTTTGATGGACTGATAAGGCAACAGCATGTATTCTACTTACTACTCCAAAGTTGAAAAACAAATGCTTTACTTGCCTCTGATTATAGTCTTTTTATTTACCTTTATATAAATTAATTTGATTTTTTTGTAAAATTGTACTTGATAAAGTTTTATCATATATTTTCATAAAACTTTTTTTTAATATTCCAAAAAGCTGACTTTCAAATGCCTTTTCGCATTCAGTTAGTTAGCAGAGATAATTAAGTAACTAGCATGCATATAAATCAAAGATTGCTGATAAGTGATGCTTAGCTTTGGGTATTTTTTCACTTTACTTTTAAAAATTTAATTTGAAAGAATTTCTATTTTAATTAGAGTTTAATTAATGTATTCATTAATCATTTTGATATATATCTTAAGTATGTCAAAAGTTTTAAAGTAAACTTACCTTTCTAACATGATCCACTAGTGGCCATACAGTATCAATATGATCTATAAGTGTCATGAATCCTTGGTATAATCTTTGGCCATTTTCACTATCATCTGGTTGAAAATATGTTGCGTTATTTTGGCAAGAATCTTTGAGAGCCTCATACATAGCGTATGTCGGTGGAGCATCTTCTTGCGTCTCTTCGCAACATAGTGATGCTTTGGCGGGCGAATCAGGGAAAGACATCATTCTTTTCAAATTCCTTATAGCAAGACTTAACCCCCGTTGAAAGAATTTAAACTGCATCTTAAATTACAAACAGTAGTGAAGTTAGGCACAAAAATCCCAAAATACGAAGTGAAAAATGATATAAAATGTATTTACAAAATATTCTTGAAGTAAATATCATTGTCGCTCTTACAATACTTTCGTTTTCGCCTTAGCAGACAGGAAAAATAATTAATTTAAATATGTATGTACACTCCGCGATTAAAAAATACTCTTACAGTAGACACGGACTAATTGAAATATTATGAAATTGAGACACGGAAATCACGAAATTACATTTCGTAGACCTAGACTGAGACGATAATGAGATTTGTAATCTCCAAAGAACACTAGTAATAGTAATCACTAATTTTCAGTTTATACAAAGGTACTCTGTGTCACTAATTATTAAACATTATTGACATTAGGACCACAGAGTACCTTTGTATAAACTGATTAGGACATTAGTATCAATCAGCTTTCAGTTTATACAAAGGTACTCTGTGCAATCAACTGTATCAGCTTTTTGACAGCTTGCTTTTCCTATATTTAAAAAAGTACTCTGTGGCTTGCTTCATTGCTGTAAGTAAGAAATACAAAATAACTACCACGACGTTCATTTAGTTAAACGTTTAGGATGGGTTTTAGATTATAACTTACATTAAAATTTAGTATAAATTATTTTTTTAAATGTGTATAAGATTTTAATAGGCGTATTTTGAATTTACTTAAATAATTTGGTAGTTTATTTAATTCAATTATAACAAAATAAACTACTGAACAATATATTTATTTTATTAATGGTAACATTTAGCATTAATTTGTGGAGTATGATACAAGAATAAAATAGTCACTTTGTTAGCAAATCCGTAGTATATTACAACCTATTTTCAACTTAGTCGGTTAGCGTTAGCGAGCGACATCTGTATTTACAAACCTTAAATAAATGACTATAAAACGACATAATTAAAAAGGCGCTAAGAAAAGGTCATGTTACTGTACGGTACTCCATCAATTTGGTATCATTATTTTCTCCTAGTTGCATGGTAAAATGTTCTAAGATTGTACTGCCTGATCAGCTTTTCAAAAAACAGCACTCGCTCAGCACTATTACCATAGATTACTGTGTATATGCTATTACTACGTTAGTACTGTACTCTTATTAGTTTGTGACTATTACAATTACTATACTCTGCTCAGCACGATCAGTGTTGCCCAGAGCTGCCAAGATGAAAAGCAGTGTGACCATCTTTAAAATACAGATCCTGCCTTACTTTGGTTAAAGCGCCCCTTACATTATCCAATTTGCAGGGCGCTAGGCGAACTAGCGTGCTAAATTTGTATTGTGTAAAGGCAGTCAGACAGCTATAGTTCATACAAGATAGCTTGATCTCTGCGACAGCTGTCAGTAAAATCACGCCTATGAACTCCTGAATTTCTTAGTAGTACAGACACGTAGACAGAGAAACTAATATATTAACGATTAGCGTGGCCTTGTGTGAGAAAGTACGATAACGTAATTTTAGGTTATAAATTAATCTTTATCACGTTTAAACAATCATATTTGGATAAAATTTAAACGTATATTCATGTAGTTCTGTAACGAAATTAAAAAAAAAAACAATTGAATTTTATGCGTAATACCAGATAAAATGTACTATACTTACTAGTGAAATTATATACCGGTGAGTTTACGTTCACTATCACTTTTACATCCTAAGACACTACATCTAACCATTTTTAAAGTTTTTAATTGTTCTAAGAACTGAACTGAACAAGATTCACCAATCTTAAGCTCACAAAAAACTTTTTTTCTCACTTAAACAAACTTGTAAACTCTTTAGATCGCCACGAACTGTCAAAGTTTGTTTCGCAAAGTGTAGTTTGCTAAACAAAAAAAAAACCGGCACGGAGAAAGGGACTAACACACCGCTCTGTCTCTGTTCTATGCATGAAGTGTACATAAATCTATCTTTTTCGTGTGCGAATGCGTGTCAATGTCTGTCAATGAATGAATGTCAATTTGTCTATAGGTTTCTCTGTCTACGTACAGACAGTACCTGTCAATGTCATACTTTATGGGCATGCCGACCTAATTATAGTTCATAAAAGATAGCTTGATCTTTGCGACAGCTGTCAATAAAATCACGCCTATGAAGTCCTGAATTTCTTAGTAGTATAGACTAGACGTGGGCGTTATTTCACGTCACTAGATACAATAACTGGCTACGCGGCATGTAACGGAATCACTAGTTTCGAGTCATATTACAACTAGTGATTTTTGTAAATGCGTTACTTATTACTGTTAACTGTGATTTTTGCGAGAGTCGATTGTCAGTCGGTCGAGCGCGAAGTGCACATGTGGCATACAACAATAAACAAAACAGCGTATGTAACAGTATTATTGTACGTTTAATTTTCATACGTAAGACTATAAACATAGACAATAAGATAGAGTGATCTCTGTTTGTAAATAATTTCAACGGTTTGCGATTTCGGGAAGCGAGAGTCACATTAGATTTAAGTAAAATAATTTTTTAAAACATTTTTTACGGAGTCACGAACTCGTTTATTCATAAAACCAAAATAAAACTAAAAAATGTGTGTAAAAAATTTAAAAATTTAAATGTTTATAATATTATAAGATTTAATAACTGTGTGTAAATAGCAAAACAAACGAACAAATTAATTGTACAGTGTAAATAAAAGTGCAAAAACATATGATAGTGAAAACGTTGAAAAAGTGTAAATAAACTGTAAATATCAATAATCATTGTATATACAATCAAATTGACTTGTAAATACGCCTACATTAATAATTTTATGAAAATCTTAGTTTCATAGTAAACGCAAACAATTATAAATACATTTAATGCAGTCCTAAACCTGAATAAGGTATGAAGGGAAGTTAATTTATTGATTTAACTGTATAGATACAAACACTTAGATAGTGATTAAATTTATTTTCGTTTCGTGTGTAACTGTATAGTTGGTGGTGGTATTTATCCAAACAATCACGGTAGCCGAATAAAAATAGCCAGTCAAAAATCACTAGTTTTAAAACAGGTGACGACGACCAAGTCACTGGTTTCGTTAAGTTTCTTGAAAATGACGTAACGACCCACGTCTAGTACAGACAGTACCTGTCAATATCATACTTTATGGGCATGCCGACCTAATTAGCGCATGCGCATAAAGTATGACATTGACAGGTACTGACTGTACTACTAACAAATTCAGGACTTCATAGGCGTGATTTTTACTGACAGCTGTCGCAGAAATCAAGCTATCTTTTATGAACCATAGTGATCCAATCTATTGCGATCGCATGGACTCTGTCGCGCTAGCTCATATCGTACACTAGCTAGCGCACTAAATAGCATGGTGTAACGCGTTCCAACGTGTTAAGACTAGCTATGCTAGGTCAGTCAGTCAGTCTGCGTGCGTTCGAACAGGACGTATTTTTGGTATAAGATCAAAGTGACGTGACGCAACCATCGACTAAGGAAAAGGAAGTGCTCTTAAATGGGAAATATTTTTTTTTATAGAATAGGGTGACAAACGAGCACACAGTCCACCTGATGGTAAGTGGTTGCTGCGGCCCATAGACATCTACATCTATCCTCCATTTAAAATCAAAATTCAGATGCGTTGTCACCCGTGAGGACTGAGATGGAATGCCTCGTTTCCAGTAAAAAGGGTCTCCGGTTCTCTACACTCACCATACGAAATACAGTAGCAATAAGCTACTATTTCATGCTGGTATTCTGTGAGAGCGTGGTCCTTCCCCGGTCGAGCCGACCCATTCGTGCTACAACTATACTACTAATATAACTGCAGCATGGATCTACCACGTACAAAAAAATAATTGTAGACAGAGAAACCTATAGACTAATGATTAGCATGGCCTCGAGTGAGAAAGGACGATAACGTAGTTTTAGATTATACAATAATCTTTATGACTTTTAAACATATTTAGATAAAAATTTTAAATGTTCTAAGAACTGAACTGAACAAGATTCATCAATCTTAAACACACACACTCTCACAAAACACTTTTTTCTCACTTAAACCAACTTGTAAACTCCTCAGATCGCTACGAACTGTCAAATTTGCAAAGTGTAGTTTGCTAAACAAAAAAACCAGCACGCCGAAAGGGACAAACAATCACACCGCTCTGTCTCATTTCTATGCAAGACATATGCATAAATCTATCTTTTTCGTGTGCGAATGCGAAAGAAGGAGTCAATTTGTCTATAGGTTTCTCTGTCTACGGAAATAATGAATTATACAAAACATGTCATTTCTTTGGTATAAAAAACATAAGGATTATAAAAACAAAGATATAAGAAACGATGGAAACAAAGTGATTCTCGAAGTTTACAAAAGATTCACATTGTTCATATTTACAAACTAATAAAAGTACTAACGTAATATTTGACAGTCTTTGTCTCAGCAATAAATATTCTTTCACCCAACATTTTTTTGCGTTTTTAAAAAAAAATTAATTATCATTAAACTTGACACCATTTCTAAAGCAATGCCAACTTTCTGGTGTTTTGATATTACCATATTCGTTTAGCGCTTTTTGAAAGATGCGGTTTGGACGACGATCACTACCGAAATGATAGGAAATTAAACTAACTAGCTTCACTAGTTAGTCTAGTGAAATGAATGAGCTCTTTTTATATTTCGCTGCAGCACTAAATCTAGCGCTCTGCAAATTGGATAATGTAATGGGCGCTTTAGTCCATTCAACCCAATGGACTCGCTTAGTATGATTATTTCTAATGATTTCTTATATTTACGCGAACACTATACATGATTAAAACTACTTTTACGGATTTTATCGCGTTTATTTTTACTTTTTATTTACTTTTATTTTTAATTCCCGACGTTTCGGGCGCTTTCCAGCACCCATGTCCCCCGTGACCATGGGTGCTGGAAAGCGCCCTCCTAGGGTCTCCGTCAGCGAATCTAGT